ATTTATGGATAAATGAATGAACCACCTGGTGCTAGAGCTAGAGTTGGTTTAACTGGTTTAACAGTTGCTGAATATTTCAGAGATGAAGAAGGAAAAGATGTGTTGTTATTTATCGACAACATTTTCAGATTTACATAAGCATGTTCAGAAGTGTCAGCATTATTAGGACGTATTCCATCAGCTGTCGGTTATTAACCAACATTGGCAACAGATTTAGGTTAATTACAAGAACGTATTACAACTACCAAAAAGGGATCTATTACATCAGTCTAGGCTATTTATGTACCTGCAGATGATCTTACAGATCCTGCACCAGCTACAACATTTGCTCACTTGGATGCAACAACTGTGTTATCAAGAGCTTTAACTGAATTAGGTATTTATCCAGCTGTCGATCCATTGGATTCATCTTCACGTATGATGGACCCAAATATTGTTGGTGAGAAGTAATTAATATCATTATTCTAGACATTATACAGTTACAAGAGGAGTTTAAAAATTATTATAAGATTATAAATCACTCCAAGATATTATTGCCATTTTGGGTATGGATGAATTGTCTGAAGATGATAAACTTACTGTTGCTAGAGCTAGAAAAGTTTAAAGATTCCTTTCTTAACCATTCTTTATGTCTGAAGTCTTTTCAGGAAGAAAGGGTAAATTCGTTTCACTTAATGACACTATTGCTGGATTCAGAGGTATTCATATCATTCTAATATAGCTCTACTCGACGGTGAAGGTGATGAATATCCTGAAAATGCATTCTATATGTAAGGTACATTTGAGGATGTCATTGAAGAAGCTAAAAGAGTTGCTGCCGAAACAACAAAATGAAATATAATTTAATAACATATAAAATAAAATGTAAAAATATCATTATTTCTATTTATCATCATCTCCTATAATTTTTATTCTTTTTTTAATCATTATTTTCTATTATTTATTTCATTCCTTCTTACTCAATTCTATATATTTTATTTCATTTTATAAATGTGTTGAGTAATTATTGATTGCATTGCAAGTACCTTTAAAAAGATCAAAGGTTGGTTTAGAGGTGATAGAGGAGGTATAAGATTTAACTTAAATAGATTAACTTCAAGATGATCACATAAGGTCAACTCAAAGTCCATCATAAATTAATGTTAGACCTAATGCTAATCCTAGTTGAAGATGAAATACTCATTATTTCTACTTAATGGCACTATAATGAACTTTATAACAAAAAAGCTCTATTATGACATCAGTACTCTAAACTTTTCAGGTACCGATCGATAAAAATGTGAACATTAAGTATACATATTTTTTATTATCATCATTTATCTATTTTATTAAAAGTTAAATTCTATTTATACATTTTGAAGATTTATATGCTTAAAAAGATTTTATACAATTTTATGTGTACAAGATTAAAATTTTAATATAAAAACTAATAATAATATTTATTATGGTCTCTTTTATTTATAATATAATTTAATATATTTTATGAAATAATCAAATGAAAAACAAAATAATTCATTTAATTGTGTGCCTCCACTCAAAAGGCATCTTTATTCAATTGAAAATTTCATAAAACTATTTTATATTGTATTAGTGTCCTTTTAATTTCATGCCTGTTATATTGGAATGATAAGCTCAATTTTAGGAATGATCAGGCGAAAATCCTTTAATACTGATTTTACAATGAATTTATTGTATTTATTGAATATTAGTTTTTTTAAATGCACCAATAATTACATGTATCACCTACCCATTTTAATCCATTATGTTATTGGAATTGCAGAATATATCAATTTAAGATAAGGATCCATGTATGAAAGTAAACAATATTATATGTTATAGCTTGCAAGAATTTCGTTATTACAATATAATAAACTAAAGGATTCTTTTTAGATTTTAGATGCAAATATGAATTTATGCTTGTTCCTTTAAGCGTTTTGATGGTGATAGTGAGTAATTCTTCATGGTGGTTAGTAATTNTTATTGCCATTTTGGGTATGGATGAATTGTCTGAAGATGATAAACTTACTGTTGCTAGAGCTAGAAAAGTTTAAAGATTCCTTTCTTAACCATTCTTTATGTCTGAAGTCTTTTCAGGAAGAAAGGGTAAATTCGTTTCACTTAATGACACTATTGCTGGATTCAGAGGTATTCATATCATTCTAATATAGCTCTACTCGACGGTGAAGGTGATGAATATCCTGAAAATGCATTCTATATGTAAGGTACATTTGAGGATGTCATTGAAGAAGCTAAAAGAGTTGCTGCCGAAACAACAAAATGAAATATAATTTAATAACATATAAAATAAAATGTAAAAATATCATTATTTCTATTTATCATCATCTCCTATAATTTTTATTCTTTTTTTAATCATTATTTTCTATTATTTATTTCATTCCTTCTTACTCAATTCTATATATTTTATTTCATTTTATAAATGTGTTGAGTAATTATTGATTGCATTGCAAGTACCTTTAAAAAGATCAAAGGTTGGTTTAGAGGTGATAGAGGAGGTATAAGATTTAACTTAAATAGATTAACTTCAAGATGATCACATAAGGTCAACTCAAAGTCCATCATAAATTAATGTTAGACCTAATGCTAATCCTAGTTGAAGATGAAATACTCATTATTTCTACTTAATGGCACTATAATGAACTTTATAACAAAAAAGCTCTATTATGACATCAGTACTCTAAACTTTTCAGGTACCGATCGATAAAAATGTGAACATTAAGTATACATATTTTTTATTATCATCATTTATCTATTTTATTAAAAGTTAAATTCTATTTATACATTTTGAAGATTTATATGCTTAAAAAGATTTTATACAATTTTATGTGTACAAGATTAAAATTTTAATATAAAAACTAATAATAATATTTATTATGGTCTCTTTTATTTATAATATAATTTAATATATTTTATGAAATAATCAAATGAAAAACAAAATAATTCATTTAATTGTGTGCCTCCACTCAAAAGGCATCTTTATTCAATTGAAAATTTCATAAAACTATTTTATATTGTATTAGTGTCCTTTTAATTTCATGCCTGTTATATTGGAATGATAAGCTCAATTTTAGGAATGATCAGGCGAAAATCCTTTAATACTGATTTTACAATGAATTTATTGTATTTATTGAATATTAGTTTTTTTAAATGCACCAATAATTACATGTATCACCTACCCATTTTAATCCATTATGTTATTGGAATTGCAGAATATATCAATTTAAGATAAGGATCCATGTATGAAAGTAAACAATATTATATGTTATAGCTTGCAAGAATTTCGTTATTACAATATAATAAACTAAAGGATTCTTTTTAGATTTTAGATGCAAATATGAATTTATGCTTGTTCCTTTAAGCGTTTTGATGGTGATAGTGAGTAATTCTTCATGGTGGTTAGTAATTTTACATATTTTTTATGTAATAACAAAATCGATAGCTGTAAAAGTAATTTATTTGAAAAACTATTTCATAGGATATGCATGATGTTTACATGAGTATTAGAAATAAATTAAAATTATGATATAATTTTTCTTTGAATGATAATTTTCATTGTATTTATTTTAAACACTCTCTTAAGAAAAAATTACAAGTTTTGGAATCATAAAATTGATCACAATTAATTATATTGCAAGGTTCAATTTTTAATTTGAGGAAGTCTTAGCATTTGATTAAAAATAAAAATTCTATTTCCAAAGAATCATTTGTAAATTTTATCAGTTAGGATTCTTCTTCTTTGTAGAATCATATTAAAAATCTTCATAAAATATTTACGAACATAAATTAGCAAACCAGACCTGATTTTTTGATATTCATACAATTGAATAAGATCCTTTTTTAAATCATAATCAAAAAAAATATTTTAGATTTTATCTCTAAAAGATGAAGCTGCTATTTTATTGCTTTAAAAAATTAATAAATTAAAAATTCTATTTTTATTTTGAACGTTTTGGGGATTTGCTTTTCTTTTCATTGATTTTATTTTGCAAACTTATTAATTTTTATATAGCAATTTTTTTGTATAGAAATTATAAAGTAAATTTACAACATAAATAAAATTATCATGATTAATTGATTATTAATAATTAAGTATTTTTTATTTGGAATAGATAATAATTTTTCTTTAAATAAATATGATCTAAATTTATTTTTTGAAAGAAAAAAGAAATTTTGAATAAAATTAAATGATAATAATTTTATACATATTTTAATTAGTAATCTTTGAGTTATAACAGAAAAAAGCTTAATGAATTGTGGAAATATAATTATTATATAATTTTAGAGAATTTGTAATGTCATTTGTGAAAGAGATTAATATAAATTAATTATGCTATTTAGATCTGCCTTTAGATTTTGCTCTTTTAATAAAGATGTATTCTAAAGACAGAAGCCACTCATTCAGATTGATAATATCATAAAAATTCTTAGACCTTTTGATATTGAAATAAACATAGAAGAGATGGTTGAGACAGTTAAGATTGTCGGAAAATATGTAATATTATAATTTTACATTCTTTTAGTCTAAACATACTCTATACAAATTTCCTATTCCTTCATGTATGAATATATAAATATGAAGTTCTATAAAGTAATACCTTACAAATAGATCCATAATTCATTTCAGAAACATAATAAAAAATAATGAATAATGTAAACAAATATATACTATCGAGATACCATCAAATCCTAAAAATTTATCTATTTTTTATCGAATGTACAGATATCCAATGAGAATGGCATTACCTAAAACAGTGTTTTAAATTTCTAAGAGTTTAGGAAAATCAGCTTTATCTGAGTAAGCATTGAGATTGGCTGCCTGTTTAGAGAATATTCAAATAGCACTTAGTTTACATATGATGATAGATCGTAAAAATTGAAATTTAAACAATATTAGGTTATCACACTTAAAAACCCTCAATCTTCAGTTTAGAAAGAATAATTTACAACAAATTATCAGATAAAAAATTAGTATTAGGAGGAGATTTCTTTCATTCAAAAGCGTATTGATATTCTAAAGATTAATTTAGATCAGTTTTAAGTGCTAACATAATGAAATAAGTGGAGGTTCCATTATTTTTGTCAATGTTAGAAGAAGAGGCAGCAAAAGGAGTTTTTTATGAGTATGATTTGTTTGAGAAAATCAAAGAAAAGGGATCAAGTAGTATAGTACCAGAAGAAGTGTATTAATTAGCTTATCATTAATGTGCAAGTAAATTCGCTTTTACTACAATGTAAAAATAATATCAAAATTAGTTTGACTTATTGGGTGTAAAATGGAGATCTAAATAAATTAAATGATGCTTTTAAGGCAGGTGTTTATTTAGGGTTGTGTATTGATTTTTAAAATCAGATGAAATATTTTGTAAGAAATCTACCAACTATGTCGAATACATTATTAAAAGCTGTTGTGAATAATAATGAATGCAACTTTTATTAAGATAAAATTGCGTAAACAATTTCATTAAATTATACAGATTGCCAATTTATTATATGCATCAGAAATCTAAAGAAACAACATCCTTGCAATAATTACATGATCATGCTCTAAAATAATCTGAAAAAGTGATAGAAATTATGAAAGAAAAGTCAAAAGAATATTTTATTAAGTTAGGAGCAGATTTTGAGGATATATCTGATCTTATTGAGCATTTTTGCAAATATGAATGAATAATTTAATAAAAAATTTACAATTATTATTTTATGTTTTTTATTTCAAATTTTTTCCTAAAGGTAAAGGTTTAAAAGATCTTAAACTTAATATTCTTTTAATTATAAGAAATCTGAATCTTCAAAACAGCCATTACATTAATCTACATCAATGAATCTTCTAAAACATCTAATTTTTTGTGGATTATTCTAATTTTATTATTTAAATTTCGAACGATAAAGTAAATATTAATAAAAACAATTCAGACAAATTTGATGTGAACAAGTAGCTTGAAAAGATTTATTTCTGAAATAAATTTAATATATATACACTAAATCGCATGTTTTTGAGTGCATCATATGATAAGGTTGATTTTCTATTTTTTTTATTGCGTGCTCAAATATCTTTTAGCATTTATTGGTGAGCCATTAACTGTTTTTTATAACAAACATTTCATCTACAAATTATAATACTATTCCTAAATATATGTCTTCCATTAAATCTACCTAAGGATTAGAATACTATTCAACAAAATATAGAAATTAAGTTAAATAAATAACATTTTTTTAATCAAATTTAACAAAGACTTTGGCAATTTCTTTAAATAATTTAATTGAAACTTACTTAAATGCTACAATATTATAAACAAAGATACCTATTTAAATTTTTTCTTAGGCTTCTTTTCTATTATAATTATGCCATTATGTATGACTTAAAATAATAGGAGCATTTTCAAGAATCATTTTCTCGAAAAAATTTATAGCATTTTTATTCTAATTAGAGAGAAGAACTTAAAAATAACTATGATCTTAGAAAATATCAATTATGAAGGTTAAAAAATAGTTTCTTACTATTGCTTCGTGTTTTACTTATTTTATTAAACAATCTATTAAAATATCGCATTAAAAATAGATTGCTAGTTTGAGCAAGGGTAAATAATCTTCTTTAATTTTATAATTAATTTTTCCAGTATAAATGAAATTCAAAAACAGTTTAAATAAATTTTAAGGGTTTTAGCCATTTATATAAAAATCCTCACATTATGGAATCACATGATGATATTAGCTCTAAAAATTTTATTACTTTTGTAATTTTTATAATTTGATATCAGGTTGGATTAGAGTTGTATTAATAAAGAAGTCAAATGTTTAATTAGAGTAACTATTTAATCTATAAAAAGAATTAGTGGGAGTATTTTTATTAGTGGGTGTATTAAATTGATTATTGGGTATATTAAATTAATTATTGGGCATAATAAATTGATTATTTGGCATATTAGGTTTGGATTAATTGACTATCATTATTATTTGTATTTATATACTTTGATAGGTAATTTTAATACATAAGGTCATGTTGACTTAAGATTAAGGCCTGAAAGCTTCTTATATGTAATCTTCTATGTTATTTCGACTTAATTTGCCTAAATCTATTAAATCCATGTTAATATTTTTACTTAAATTAATAAATGTAAAAAGAAACTTCTTCTGTTAATACGTCTCATTAACAATAATAATAACAAAATAAGGAAGAGAGTAAATTAAAAAGTCTATTGTAGGGTAGCTATGATTATATTCATAGAGAGACTGGGAAAATGATTTAGAAAGTAAAATTGACATAAATTATATTGATTAGAAACTCTATAAGAAAGCATTTCAACTTTTAGAAAAATTTTATAATTAAAGAAAGGATTTAGAATTAGGAGAAATGGTTTTGTTAAATAGAAGAATAATAAATTGCATAAATAAAATATTAAAATAAGGTTTACTTAAACCAGATATTGAATAAGACAGGCCAGAAATAATGCTTCATATATTCTAGAGAGGTAGCTAAGCAATTTTTGAGCTATACAAATACTTAAATTTGTATATTTAAAAAGTTATACCTAATGAAATGAAAGGAGTTGTGTAAATTAATTAAATTATAATATTAGTTTAGAGGAAGTATCTCATTTAACAAGTTCAGATGAAGAGAATGAAGAAAGAATAAAAGAACATGAAGTGACAGTCCTATTATATAAAATTAATGAATATGATAAACCTAAAAAGGAGAGAAGTAAAAAATAAGTTAAAGAATTGAATCCATATGAATAAGAGATCTCAGAATCTAGTAGAATAGCAAATATGATTGTAAAAACTTTGAAACCTTTGAATATTCAATTTGAGTTGGATCAATACTTTTATAATTTAATTGAATTACAATTAATGGCTAATTTAATTTTTAAGAAAGCAAATAAACCAAAAGTAGCATATTATTATTTGGTGGAAGCTTAAAGAATTAGTAAATAAATATTAGATACTCCTAATCCAAATTTAGTAAATGCATGTGCTAGAGTAAAAATGTATTTGGCTAATTATTTGTATGAAATAAGTGAATATCAAGAATCTTTAAAAATTGCAGAAGAAGCTATCGTGATTTTATGTGGTGAGATGAGGATAAGAATTAATTAAGAGAAATTCGTATAAAAGAAACATAAATAAAGGTATATAAGTGTTACTTATAGCAAAATAGGGAAAGAAGAAGAATGAAAAGATGTGTGATAACAACTTTATCAGCATTAATAATTATGATGTGTAATTATGAAGCTCAAAATAATTATCATAGAATTGTTGAAACTTTAACAACAGCTAGTTGGTTAGCTGAAAAATATATTTAAGGAATTGATGAATTTAAAAAACATATTGTTAAATTGGCTAGTGAAGGTAAACATAGATTAGAATAAAATTTAAAAGATTTAGCAGATCTTAGTTATATTGCAGAATCTACTTTGGATTAAGAATTGCATTAAATTAGAAAATCTTAAAGAGATTATAGAGAATAATCTGAATCAGATTATTTAAAAAAATTTAATAGTGATATGTTTAATCTTTTTTAAGTTAAATCATTGAATGAACAATTATTTTTAAAAACTTAAATAAAGGAAGAATAGAAAAAAAAATAATAATTTGATACAAAAATTATAGAACAATCTTAACCTCATGGCACAGATGCTTCAATAAATATTTTTGATAGTGATTCAAATAGTAAAGATAGTTTTTTTGAAGGTAGTTTCTTTGCTCCTTCAATTGACAATTTATAATTTGATTCTAAATTATTTGATGATAAAAGACCATTATCAACATCAAGAAAACCAAATAATAGAAAAATATATAAAACAAACAGATAAAAAGGAAAATCTGTAGGTTTAATAAAAATTGGTTTAGAAAGACCATAAGATTATAAATCAAGAATATTGACTACAACATAATATTTTAATGATTATTAGAAGAAACCAAAAGTATAGGAAGAGAAAAACGTAAGTAATACAGGTGCATTTTTAAAGAGACAATTAGAAAATCTAGAGTATAGAGAGCATCCTGATAGAGATGAACATCATAAATAGGATTTGGATGTATATGTCAATAAAATGGTTAATGGCAAAATTTCATCAAATGAGATAAGAGATTATAATGAGTAAAATAGTTTTTTATTTTAGTATCTTAGGATAATTATTTAATTTGAGAAAAAAAGAAGACTTTGATAAAAAAGAATTTCATTTTGGTAGAAGAATGCTAAACATTAGAGCAAAAGAAGAAATTAGGTTTTACAAAGAATCTTTTAAAACTCCACTTGTAAAAGTCGAGATAGATACTAAAGTTAAAGATTAAGCACATATAATAGATGGAAAAATAACTGCTGAAAAAGAACTTAAGGATTTAAAAAGAAGAAAGATAGATAAAATGGTTGCTGGAAAAAAAATAGTCTAAACAAATGTGAATATAGATTTAAAGGATCCAGAAGAAACTAATTATTTAAAAAAGGTTTTAGAGAAAAGTAAGAAGAAGAAACTAAAAGATTTAATTTATAAACATAGAGAATCATTAGGATTAGCTAAATTTTTTGCTAATTTGTTGAGAGAACAAAAAGAAAAAGAAAGAATTTTAAAACTTAAATCAGCTTTAGAAAAAGAAGTATCAGTTGATGTTGCAGACAATCAAAGTCAATAATAGTTGTAAATAAAATAAAAAAAGAATGTTAAAATAGTTGTACAATAAATAGATAAATAATAAACATAATAAGTTTCTTTATAGCCTTCTTAGTTATAATAATCTCAGATTGTAACAGAAGATCTTAAAACATTAGGTTAACCAACTTTAATGTAATAGAAATCAAATTCTTAGACAACTTTACCTAAAACAATTTTAAAGAGATAAAAGGAAGTTTCAAGTGTAAAAGACAGTCCTCGAATAAGTTAAACTTTAATTGGTATGGATGTTTAAGGAACAGACTTAATTTTAAAATAAGAAAAGTAGTAGAAAGAAAAAAAAGTAACTAAAGATCAAATTGATAAGTAATAGAAAAAGTCTCATTAAGTAATTGGAATGATAATTGATGCAGTAGAAAGAAAAATGGATGTCGAAAATAAAGAGTTGAAAAAGATGCTTTTTAAATAGAAAGGTGGATCTAAATAATATGTTGATGATGATGAAAAAACATATTTAAAATTTATGCCAAAATTTGCAGATATGAGTAGATCAACATATTTAATGTATATAAAGAAGGAATTAGCAGATAAATAAATAATTACACTGGAAGATGTTGTAAGAGCTAACATCATTAGAAAAAATTAGTTAACAGATATGGCAGCATAAATATTTAAAGATTTAGGATAACATCCCTGATTTATATAATAAAATTTTATAATAAAAAATCATACGCAATATATTATGACGAAATATCTTTGTTCGTATATTAATTCTACATTATTAAATAAAATTTGATTATTATTATAAATTAATGACATCATAAGCAGTCCTGTTGGCAATCGGATTTTTATTAGTTTTGAGTGCAGCTACTTATATGAACTATGAAAGTAATGTGAGTACAATAGATCATGGTTTTACAGCTGATTTTGCCTCTTTCATTAAATCCTTTGACACAAAATACGATTTCATTAGATCTGATATAACTTGGTCAACATATGGGTATTAACTATAAATAACAATTATTTAAGTGGTGCTGAGACAAGACCTACATCTGCTCCATCAAAGTATCCAATTGTATTTATTCACGGAAATTCAGATATTGGAGTAGGTAATGGTGGAACTGTTGGATGGTAGACAGGATTCACTACACTTATAGAATATTTATAAAATTATGGTGGATATACTAAGGCTGATTTGTATGTAACAACGTGGGGTAAATTTTATTATAATTTTTTTAGGACCTGCAAATCCAAACTTAGCATCCTAAAATGGACATAGTGAAAAATATGTTATGACAACTAGAAGATTTATTGAAGGAGTTCTTGCTTATACAAAAGCTAGTAAAGTTATTGTGATCGGTCATTCAATGGGAGTTACATTAGCTAGAGCTGCCATTATTGGTGGAACTTATTCAGAATCTATGCTATCTAAATTCACTGTTGGAGATCCCATTACTAATTCTGTTGCTGCTTTCTTTGGATTAGCAGGAGCTAATTATGGATTAGTAGATTGCACATATGCAACAGGATTACCAACTTGTAGTACATATAATGGATTTTCGCCATCATCTTAGATGTTGTCAGCCTTTAACTCTAAGACTCATAGAGAAGGTGCTAAAGTTTATTCATTCTGGTCTCCCAATGATGACATCATTAAATATAACTGTATTGTTAACCAAAAAAATACTTGTATTGTCCCTGGAAGTGATGAATCAGTAAAATTCTTTATTTTAAACTTTAGTATTAATAAAATGGATACACTCACTTTGATGTAAGAGATAAGTTTGGAGCTGACATACTACGTCTTCTTGAAAAATTGTGATAAAATTTTATATTTTAATAATATAAATTTTTAAAATTTTAACATTGAAAATTCTAGAAAAAGAATAAAAATTGTACATCAAAATCCATTATAATTTTTAGAATGTAGAATAAACATTGAATAAGAATTATTACTTTGATTAATTGAAATCGTAAGATTCTAATGAAATATTATTTTTAGTTGCTCCTTTAAAAATGTCTAAAGATAATAATATTGTTTTGTTTAAAAATTATAATTATGATCAGATTACTACAATAATAATAATAATTCATAAATATAGTGAGATATCCCTGAACAAATTCTCAGGCTAAGTTAAGAAAATCATTATTCAACAATTATCCAATAGAAACAACAATATAATAGAACTTTTGAAAGGATAAAAGAATAGAGGAATAGTATCAATGAGTTTTGATTTGAAAAAGGCAAAGTCTTTGTTTCTTGATTGTTAGAGTTAGGCTGTGTCATCATTAATTATTAACAATTAAACACTTGAAAAATTAAGTAAGTTTGAAATAAATTATGGAAAAATCATGGTAGAAAAAACTTGAATATATTAGAAGGTAAAATTTGAAACATATTTAGTTTATTTTCAAAACCAGTATAATTGAATAGAGATAGATATTAAATTTATTCTATAATAGGTCATGGCTCGCATAATTTTATGGATGAAGACTTAAATATAAATTTATAATTTGAACCAGATCATGTGTCTAATTTTTTTCTTATTTTGATTCACCTAAATCTTAAATTAGCTTCAAGAATAAATATACTAATACATGAATTATCTCATATGTGGTTTGGTAATTTAATCACTATAGAATGGTGGGATGATCTTTGATTAAATGAAAGTCTTGCGAATTTATTTCATATTTATATTAAATTAATGTATGTGAAGGAGAAAAATTAATTATTGGTTAAAATTTTTTAAAGAAAACATTAGGGATATTAAGAAGATGAAAAATTAACCACTCATCCTTTTTATTATTAAATTAATAAAACTGATTATGCCTAAAATTTATTTGATGGTATTACATTTGTAAAAGGTGCTGTTTTAATATAATAAAGGTATTATTACTATGAGCAGAGAAGTTTTTTTACTAAAAAAAGACTTTGTTTTGAAAACATGCTTATGGAAATAAAAAATGAAATCTGGATTAATATTCTATCATATACCACAGAAAAGAATGATATTAATGATAAAAGAATATAGGCATACAAGACATTTAAATGATTTAGTTAATATATTGAAATTTTAAAATAACTATAAATCAAATCTTAAAAAATTTATTATTTTATTTTTTAAATTTCTATAATAATTAGATAAAATATTGATTAGTAATTAATTAATAAACTCAACGATCATCTTCAACAAATGGAGGCAAATGCCCCCTACACAAAGGGCATCTATTTTAAATTTTTAACCATTATTAAAGGCATTGTGGATGAAATTCATGTTTACATGGAGTTACCATTATTTAATGTTGTAATAGTTGATTCATTGGTCTTACATCCATATCTTCAGGTCTTAATTTAAGTGAATTCAAACAAATAGGACATTCCATTGAATCGTGAACGATTACTTTTTAGAAATAACTAAATGGTTTTGGAAACAAAAATTTAGGTATAAAACATCTTGAACCATATTTTTATTGTATTGTTATTAGAAATAATGAAAGTGCATAAACAAATAAAAATACTCCTACAAATATATAATCTGTTTCCATAAAACTTATATTAACAGGACAACTTCTAACATATGGCTATATTTAATTTATAACTTACATAAAAATATAGTTTAGAAGATAAGAATCCAAAAATATAAAGTTTGTTAAAATTGTTATTTAATTTAAGTCTCACATTACGAATAACTTATGGGTATAGAACAAAAGATTATGAAAGCATGAAATAAAATGAATTCCAAAATAAATTTTCCAGTACAAGATTTAAAATTATAAAGAAATCTAATAGAATTAAATGGAGTACTTAAAATTACAACAAAATACATAAATTATTTTATTCTTGCTCTTCTTTCTATATCTGCAAGCATATACCTTTGGAGCCAAATTAAATTTACAAATTAGGGATCTTTAGAACTACACAGTACTAACTAAAGGAAGGATGGGATGATGTAAAAATATTCATATTTCTGAAAATAAGTATAAAATTTTACAAAGTTTTGAATTAAGGCCCTTAGTAAAATAAACAATTAAATTCTTCCTTGTATCACAGAGAATTATGATGCCAGCAAAGAAAGCTAAAAATCACTTAGTTGAATTGTTTACTTAAAATGTTTCTATTTATTATTATTAATTTATTAAATTAATTTTGTTGTTGACATAAATTATATTATTAATATTAAAGTGGCAATAGAACAAAATATCAGATTATTGATAAAATTATAATCGTAAATTTTCTGTATATTGAAATTCAAATTAATTTAGCAATGATAATCATCAGTATCTGTAGACTATAATTAACCATCTATTGAAAGTTGATTAATATCAAAATTATCTGAATCTTACTTTACTTTAAGTATAAAAGTACTTTGGCACAACCTTTTAGTCCAAACTTCATATAAATTTTCTCCACCATAAATTGAAACCCAATTTGTTTCAGTCTAAATACTAAAAATATAGAAAGACTTACTTTGTTGATTCAGCATAATTTTTAAGTTTAATTTCAGCAATCACAAATTTTGTTTCTAAAGATTTTGGATTTTAAAAATAATTTGAATAAAGGATTCTTCAAAATAAAAATATTTCTACTGAATCAAGAGTCAAATAATTAAATTATTTTATAGATTGATTATTTGATAACCATTTTCCTTTAAATAAATTATCTTATAATAAAGATAACATATTAAATCTGGTGTTTGATTTTAAAGTTTTATTTATGGCAAAATGAAAAATAACAAGATTAGTGAAAACATATTCTCTGTTAATTCTACAATAATTATATTTTATAAAATAATCATATATAATATGAATATAAAATGTAAACTAATAGAAATTAAAAAAAATGAACTTATTTTATAAAAATATAGCAGATGAATTAAATTTCAATATTTTTCATATAACAAAACATAAGCAGATTTATCTGATAATTACTTTCCATTAATTTTAGTAACAGTCTCATCATCAAATAAATACCAATTATCATATCTTTAGGCATAGGCTTTATAGTGTCCTCCATTAATTTAACCCATATGTGTTATAAGTGCTTTCAGTTTATATTTAGTTTGCAATCCCTTAGAGCAGAAACTAGAAATAAATTGAATTATTACTCTTAAATGTCCAATTTTTCAGGATAGGAAATAGAATCATTAATTTTTTGAGATGTTGGAAAACTAGTAAACCTTTTAAATTAAATAATTAAATATTGAGGAGTCTAACTAATAAACATTTTTCTTTTAACTGATTTATTTGTTTTCTTGCATTTGTCACATTTCCAAGTGTCATTAATAACTTCCTCTCTATAATAAGATTTTAGACAATCCATCAAATCAATACCAGTATAAGATTTACTAAAAAATTCTTTATATATATATACCTTATAGGCAAAGATAGATCCCATATAGGATCATATCCCTCACAAACTTAATTACATGATTTACAAAAGGATTAACTAGTGGATTAACCAGCAAAAATAATATCTATAATATCTTAATTTTTCTATTTGTAATCATTCCAGGCTTATTCAGCAGAATTGAATTCTTATTTATTTTTATATTTCCCCACTAGTTCTTCTTGAATTTTACCCAAAAAAAACAAAAGAAATTCATGACTATCTTATTATTAATTAAATTGGAATTTTCCAGAACATGTTTCCCAAACACTTTAAGCAGCAATTGCAGAAAAAGAACTTTATCTTTTAATCTATACAAATAAATATAAATAAAAATATAATACTGTTCTTAATAACTCTTAAAATGCAGATAAAAATTTTTATCCATATTTTGGTTGAATAGCAAGAATTCCTTCAGTAAGAGAATCAATACTTAAAAGGACTTATAAAGCAGAATTCAAATAACAATAATATCTAGGATTTCTTAATCCAATAATTGGTTATTGACCTTAAGAAATTTATGGTCTTTGTTATTCTTACTATACTCTTCTATAATTCTAAGCACTATCATTTCTTGGATGTGATTATATAATTTATGATATTTATCTATCAACAGATTTAGGAGTTGCCACTACTGAAATAGTTTGAGTTGTAGGTTTTTATTCAATAAATCTTGAATGATTTTATGTTTAGATCATAGTTTATGGTTATCTCGGAGGTTTAGTATTAGTATTAGTATTATTATTATTAGGTTAAACATAAGATTCTCGTTTCATAATAGGAGGTACTTTAACTTCTGGACCTCCTCCATACATTTACATTACAAAATTCCATGCTTACTCATTTAACACAACATAGTCTTTATCTTAAATTAAACCACTTCTCATTAATTAATTAGATCCTATTAACTTTTAGTTGTCTATTGATCTAATTTCTGTTTTTTTTCCTTTTAGATGATTTGTGTAATTAACTGCCCATGAATATTCAAGTGCAAACTATTATTGGATGTTTTCTTTATTTATCAACTAGGTAATGTAATCATGTTCACGTTAAACACTAAGAACAAAGCATTTAAATACCTTTTTTCATAAAAACCACGATTACGTAAGTCGTTAATATTTTATATTTGCTACAGCATTTCCTAATTTGAATTAATTTTAATTAAAAACTTAGTTAATTGGTTTTGCAGGGGCAGGTGGTGGAACATATACTTTTTGGGATTCCTCTTCCTTTTTTAAAGAATGCGTGTCAGAATTCGTTGATGGCTCCTCTGGCTTGGCACTCTTCCTAAAATTCTAAAAAACTACTTCGATTTCTTCTTTTTCGAACCACAGCAGAACATTATAATATATAATAATATTTTATTTATAATTTATAAATCAGATAACTAATACACATTCTAATCTATAATCTTCATCAATTATTAATTGATTTTTTTTTAAATAGTTCATTAACTTTCTTTTTTATTTCACTCTCTTATCAATTATTCTTTTATTTGTGAACCATCTAATTATCACTGTTTTGACTCAAAATTTAAATCATTTAATAATTCGATTCCAGTGTAAAGATTCCAAATATATTAGCATATAATACCTTTTAATTTCGGTTCTCAAATTTTCTCAACAAAAAGAAAAAGAATTAATTTAAAAACTAATCCTAGAAACACTAAAAATATTTTCTTACAAATGTAAATAAGTATAAATATAAATATAAAGAATTTCAAATGAGATAAAAAGTATTATAAAGATTAAAGATTTATTATTTTTCGATTGGAAAAAATAAAAATTATTCTTAATCTCAATTATTTATTCAATCTATTATTGAGATCACAATTTTAAATAAATCAGGAAATTGTAGAAATTCTTATTACAAATTTTTATTTCATAAATTTAATTTTAATAATTTAAGTGTTTTCTCATTTCATACCTGCTTAACGTTAATAAATTTCTTAATTTAAGTTCACTTAAAAATTATGGTCTAAAATAATAATTAATTAGTATAACTATTCCACTATGTTTAATAAGATAAAAGATTTTATTAATTTTAAGAGTTTTTTCTGAAAGATCCTTTTTTGAATAAAAGGAAACAAAATTATAGTATGTTTTATTTAAATTAAATCTAAGAAAATATTATAATTAAATATGTAGAATAATAAATAAGAATAGAATATTAAGATAATAAAGTTTTATGAATTGTAAAAATTGAAATTGAAATAAAAACTGACAAAAAATTGTGATATAAAAATTTTTTAAAAATATTAGTTTAAGATTTGTTTGTTTTAGTGTATATATATAGTAGTATAATGTAATGTAATATATGTTAATAAATTTGAAGTGATTTGATAAATGAAGAGAGAAAAAAAAAGTAAAGTAAAATAATTTTAATTAAAATAAATGAGTACATTGGCAATTTCAAGATGTCCAATAGTAGTTCGACATGATTTTCCAGATGAAATGATGAACTATATTGATGAAAAGATGGATGAAGGACAATATAAAAAGAGATTTCGATATGATCGTCCTGACAAGGTATGATCATATATTTTGAAGGGTTACTAGAAAAAAAATAAACAAACAAAATCGATTCTAAATATGAATTCATAAGAGATCTTTCAAAAAATAGTAATGGGAAAGAAAGAACCAAAAGAAGAAAGGTTTCGCATAAAACCGAAATAAAAAATTAATACAACTGCGTTGCATTCTGCTCTATTAAAAGTGAAAAAATAAAAAGAAGAATTAGATATATGTTTAGCTGTATAAAATTAATATATTATTAGATAGCAGATAAAGCTAAATAATGTGTAAATGAGAATGATATTTGTATGTTAGCAAATGAAGGAGCAGTCAAATTTATAATGTCTTAGAATCTTGATATAGATGAGGCTGCATTATTAAAGACAAAGAAAGGGAATACTTTTCATCCAAAACCAAAGAAATCCTAGTCAGTAAAATAAGTAATAATGGATGAGCCAGAGAATTTATTATCAATAGAAGGGAGATCATATAATATGGCTGTTTCAACATCTCTTTGTAAACATAGACCAACTTCAGCATTTTCTACAATGAGACCAGTTTCTTCAACTAAGAACTATTCTGAAAAAGGGATATCAGAACATTTACTATAATAATATGCTGATTTTAGAAATTAACTGTTTGAGAAATTGGTGGACAATAATGAAAATTAAAATGAGGAAGTTTAGATTAATGTGGGTTATCCAAATTATTTAACACCTGCTATAGGAATGAAAAGTAGTAGAGTTCCTCCTGGTTTTCTACCTAAAGGATTAAAGAGAATACATAGTGCAGCTGCTACTTAAAATGTAGAGTTTAGACCTTTTATGAATCCAGGAGAAATATTATTTAATGATTAATAACATGTAGTAGCTAAGAGACCATAAACTGCTATGATTAGTAAAATATAATCAACAAGTAGATTGAATGATCATTTGAAAGTTATAGAGGAAGTTAGACATTAAGAGGATGTAAGAATTATTAATCTATTAATTATTAGCTAAGTCAATTAAAAATGTCTCTAGATTAATCATTTAAAGAATAATAATAAACTTTAAATGTTACAGGAAAAAAAAGAATCTAAAGTGCTTATCCAAAAACTAGAATTTGATTATAATAATAATTAGAATGATTTAAAAACCATTTCTTTATGTAACAAATCCTGAGACATTCATTATTTATAAATATCAATATTAGGATGGAATATATAAAAAGATTGGGCCACATATTCCATAAGAATTTGAATTAATGAATGTTAGATAGTAATAATAGTATCGCTAATGGAAAGCCTTAAAATTTATGATGTGGAGTATTTTTAATAAAGATAAGATTTAAAATCCTATTGATTTTAGAATCATTCTATGTAGATTGATGGATTTAAATACTAATATATTATTGGCAATTATTAGTACAATTGGATTAAGATATTTCCTTCTTAAATTACAATCACCATTTATGGATTATTATTTTGAAGATAGGTTAATAACATTTCCAAAACTGAAAAAGTAATGTATAGTTATATTGATAGAGGTTTGGCTTTTTCTTACTTTGGTTTTGCATTGTATTTTGGAGTGAAGAGTGTAATCAATTAGGAACATATATATGATTTAAGTTTAGAGTATGTGTGATTATTATTATAACATTTCTGTTAAATGAGAGTTGCAGTTGCGCCATTATAAATTTCAAGATCCTTACCTCCAGTTCCCTTACCTGTAGTGGCAACACCTATGATGGTTGATAGGGGTATAAAATATTACAATCTTCTTATAGTCGTTAATATACATCATTCATAAGTATTTCATACTGATTCACCATTAAAATAATAAAGTGAATAAAAATTGAAGTAATTGGAATCAAGAGTGTAAAATTTAGAAACTTAATCACCAAATAAAGGAAAGGTTGAAAAATTATTAGAAGAGAATGAAAAATTGTTGCAATTAGTTCGAGAGAAGACTGAACATGCTTCAAAATATAAAGGAGAATTACTTACTGCCAAAAAGGAAATCTCAAAGTATTCTTATATTCTATCATTCTAGACTCAAGAAAGTCTTAGATTTAAAGGAGGAAGCATTAACGGATATGAGATTAAAAAGTTAGAGTAGAAGTATATCAAGAGCTAGTGAAAGGAAGGCTGAGTAAATTATGCAAGAGAAATAACTACTCGAATAATAATATGCGAAAGAAAAATAATATATGCAAAATCAAATAAATTAACTTAAAGAAGTCATAGAATCTTAATCATCTTAAAATCAATCCCTTTATAATATTGATTATCAACAATAAAATATTTCTAATCCTAATTAGTAAATTGAATTATTTGGTCAATAACCATCATCATCAGGTTAAATTATTAAAGGTAGTTAAAAAAGCATAAAGAAACCTTAATCAGCTAATTAAATTTAATTTGAAGTTCCAGAATATACAAATGTTTAATCAAAGAATCCTCAAGTTTAAGATCATTTAAGAAAATTATCTTAAGCATTTTAGGATAAAGATCAAAAATAAATCTCACCTATCAAAAATGATTAAGGATAAGATTAATCTTAAGAATAAGTTTAACATTCTAAACGTAAATCATATGTCTAACCAGACTAATCAAATAATCAAGATTAATAAGTGATGAGAAAAGATCAATAAAAATAATAGTCTTATAAATAGCCTGATTAAATTTAAAGAAAATCCATATCTCCAACATATGAATAATAATAACCAGATTAATTGAATTCAATCAGATAGAATTAAAGATAATAATCTTATAAATAAGGAGATATTTAAAGAAAATCTATTTCTCCAAATCAGGATGATGCTGCTATTGATTTAAGAGTAGATAATCGACAAAATCATTCTAGATAACCATCATATAAATAATAAATTCCAGCAACTGATTAATAAAGAAATACTCATAGAAAACAATCAAGCACTCTTGAATAATACTAAGTTCAAATTAATTAATTAAATGATGAATTACTTTAAGCTAGACATCAAGAAGATGAATTAAAATCTTAAATGAACTTATTAAATTAATAACTTTAGGAATAGAAATTAATTATAGATAATTTGTAATTTGATTAGAATACAAAATAAGAATAAATATAAAAATATAAATAAGATTTATAAAGTTAAAATTAAGAATTATAAAAGCAATTATCAAATAATAAAGATTTATAGTTTCAACTTTCAAAGTTATAAAGAAATAATGATTCATAAAATAAGTTATTAGATTAAAAGCTCTAAGAAAATTTGCGTAAATAAAATATTTTAGAAAAGTAATTACAAGAATCTAATTAAATTATAGAGAAACTTGAATAAGAAAATTAAGATATATCACATAAATTTGAATAAGAAAAAGATGATCTTATCAAAGAATATGAAGAATAATTAGAATAGAAATAATAAGAATTAATCGAATTAAATTAATCAGCCCTTTAGGATAAAACATCTAAAGTTGAAATTGAAATTTAATTCAATTAACTAAAATAAAAAGAAGCAAATTTCAATTCTGAAATTGACAAAATTAGAAAACAAAAAGATCTAATGAAAGCTTAGTTAGATGAAACTTAAAAAAGTCTCAATTAAGCAAAACTTTAAATAAGTCAGATAGAATCAGAACACACAGCATAAGTAGAATTAAGAGAATAATTAGAAACTAATTATGCTATTTTATAGAAAGAATATGGAGAATTTAAAGAGAATTCTATTTCTTAATTTAATAGTAAGATGAATAGTTATTAATAAAAAGCATAATTAGAATATGACAAATTAAAGAAATAAAGTTTACAATAGTAAACAGAATTAGAAAAAGTATATCTAGAGAAATCAGAATTGGAATAGGAATTGAATAATACTCAATAAGATTTAGGACATCAATATTAAGAAGTAACTTAATAATTATAAACTGCTAAGCAAACTATAAATGAATAGAAAAAACAATTAAAATAATTAGGATAATAGAATTAGTAATTAAATTAGGAACATTAGGATTTATCAGTTCATTATCAATAATAAGAAAGCGAATTGAATTAATTAAGATAAGAATTATAAACTTAATAAGATCAATGTTAATCACTTAGATTTGATATTTCAAGAATATAGATAGATAAAGCATAATTGGAATCAACAAATAAACAATAAAAGTAGATGGATTAATTAATGTTAGAAAATGATTCAATATTACATACAAATGAATAATTATAAACAGATCGTAATTAATTAGCTGATACACTTTAATAAAAGGAGAGCGAGATTGGGAGATAAAAAAAGAATATCGATTAATTGAAATAATAAAACTAATAAAATGTTGAGTAAATAAAGAAATTGTAATCTGAGTTAGCTGAAAAGGAGATTTTAGCTGAAAAATGTTAAAGTGAATTCAATAACTTTTAAAGAGAACTTTAATTATTAAGAAAGGAGAATGATAGATTATCAGCAGATACATAAAAATATGTTGAACAACTTGAGTAAGAGAAAATTAATTCAGGAAAGAAGCTTGATAATTTATAGACTCAATTATAATAATAAATTCTATAGAGAGATTAAGAATATGATGATTTAGATAAATCTAGTAGATCAGCCTTTGTTGAATTATAATCTCGAAAACAAGAGACATCATTGTAGTAGAGACGTTTAGAATAATAAACAGAGTTCATTAAATAATTAACTGAATAATTAGAGAAGGTTTCCCAATAGAATAAAAATTTATTAAATGATTCATAGTTGAATAAATAACAACATGAATAATAGTAATAGGAATTTGAATTCACTATCAAAGATTTATAAGCAAATCTTTAAAAGTAATAATATGTTTAGGAAGAATTATAAAAAGAAATTTAAAAATAAAAATTATAAGAAGCTAAATAAAGAGAAAATAATGAAATTGAAAAAGAAAAAATGAATTAGATGATGCTAAAATTAGAAGAAAAGTTAGAACAACATAAAACTGATACCGGTGCTGATTTATAAGAATATGAAATATTTAAATAGACAAATTTATAATTAAATAGTGAATTGGAAAGAATTAGAGGAGAAAATGCAGATTTACATGAAATTGTTATATAACTTTAAAAAGAAAATGTATCTTTAAGAGATCATCATCAATAAATGATTTCTTAGATTGAAGAAAATCATCAAGCAAGTGAAAAGTTGAGAACTTTATGTTAATAATATGAATAAGAAATTATTTTATTAAGAAGATAGGTAATTATATAATTTATTTATTGTTTAGCCAGAATAAGGATTATATGAATAACCAAAGGCAGGATTTATTAAAACGAAAAATAGTAGAAGAATAGAAGAAATGGAGAGAGAAAATATTTATTATTAATAAGAGATTTAGAAACTAAAATCAGTAATTGATGAGATCTAAAATAATTAAAATTATAATTCAACTCCAACTCCTGAGAGAAAATAGTTGAATTAATAATAAAGTTTATCTTAAAAAAAACATTTGTTTGAATAAAAGCCTAAATCAATAGATAACACTATAAGGAAATAATTATAATGAAATACTATGTATATTTATTTAGAGTTTTATATATAATGAAATTATTGATGTTTATTTTGAATAAGTTTTCAAATAATTTTAAGCTATTTGTCTAAATAATTAATTTTCTTTTTTTGTGATAGTTATATTTAATAATAAATATTAATGGACAAGGTTAATGTTGAAGAAGAAGGATTAATAAATAGGAAGTAAAATAAAGACTTTTCAGCTTGTAAAAACTATATTCCAGTTATTGTTGAGCCTTATCCTCAAACAAAATTGAAAAAGATCGATGATAATAAGTAATCATGATTGAAATTTGAATTAAGATGGTTGTTTAATAAAGATTCTACATTGTATCCTGTAATGTATAAAATACATGAAGTTTTGAATGGAGCTAAAAATATGTACTTTTATGTGAAAAGACAGAATGGGAGATATGCATTGCTAAAACATGGTATTATTATATTTGATAATTTTAGAAAATAAATTATAGTTAGTTTTTAAAAAATATAAATCAAATGATGGTTTTTTACATGTTTATTATCACAATGATATGATAAATAGAAGCAAATTATTAGATTATTGTTTTTATTTTGCTTAGATTGTAATTGTATTTTATTTGGTGTTATTTATATATGGATATTTAAAGATGCATGAATATATATGATTTATATTTAAATATTAATATAATTACATTATGATCTTGATAATAATCCTATTGTTATGCTTTTCTTCAGTAAACTCCATAGAGAAATGTCTTGAATTTCGAACTCAATTAGATTGTATTTAAAGCACTGATAGTTAATGTATAAATAGTAAACAAATGATAGGTGTTTGGGATTCTGGCTATTGTTAATATACAAAAAACTTAGAGCTTGGATGTTCAAATTTATTAAATTAATTGGCATGTATCAAATAATTAGCTTATTCATCAGGATAAATTGCAAGATGTAATTATTTTTATAAAAAAAACAGGTATTTTTATAAAGGTGTGTTAACCAGTATATGATTTAACTTAATTGTCCTGCACAAATCCTTTATCTAAACATTCTTGTTTAGGTATTTAGAATATCAATTAATTGTGTTATTGGGATCCAAAGACTTATACTTGTAGTGAAATAAAAGAATAAACTTATTAAGAAGATTTTGAGAATGTTCTTTATAGTGCTTCAGTATGTGGAAGAATTAAACGTAAAGAATGCAATATATACTTAGATTACTTGATAATTCATAGTTCTTTAATTTGGCCATTGATTTCTTATACACCAGATTTTGCTTCTCAAGCTCAAGATATTTATAGATAAGATTTAGGTTTGGAGAGTCTAAGTTCTAATAAAGTTTATGATAGTGGAGTACTGGCTAATAATAAACTTTATAGTAAATGTGAAGAAACTAATAAAGTTAGTTATTTTTAATGGTATCATTTTAATGATGCATAATCTTATGCTCTTAATAATTGTAATTAAGTTTATTATCTATAATTTTAGTAAAAATAAGTGATAGATAGAGAGAAGGCTGTATAGCATTATAAATAGCAGATGATAGTGATTATTTATAAATCTTTTCAACAAAAATAGATTCTATTGGAGTCAATCATATTTATTGTCGATATTAAGGAGGTGTGTTTACTAATTACAAATGCTTATATTTAAATAATGAATTATAATTAAAAGATACATCTTACTTATTATCTAATAAGATATATTGTGATTAATTAAATTTGAACTAATGTCAATATATAGAATAAGAATGTTATCCAATATTAATGGATGGTAAGAATGAATAAGAGGTGACCTGTACATTTTCAGAATAGAAATTGAAAGAAGCTTAAGGTTGTTTATCTGATACATAATAATATAAAACTTATAGAGATTGTGCTTCAATAGTAATTGTTAATTAAGGAAGTTATCTAGATATATCTTAAGTTCCTTCAATTTGTAGTTCGAATTGTGTTAGTAAAGAGAAAGATAATTGCGATATTAGTGTCTGTAGATGGATAGAGAGTAAATCTGATTTTTATGGTTGTATTCCTAAGTTTGGATGTAATTAACCAGGAGTTAATCGACATTATTGTATTTATATGGCTTAACCTTGTTAATGGGATTCAGTGTTGTTATAATGTAAATAAATATAAGACTATGAATTGAATCTAATTGAATGTAATGATGCCATCTCTAAGTTTTTATGTGGTAATATTAGAACTATGGGTTAAGAATGCATATGGATTGATGAAGATGAAAAATGTTTAAATGTTTTGAGTGTTCCTACTTTGAAACTATTTACTACTTATCCTTCTAAATATATAGTAAATCGTAATCTTTGTATGAATTATAAAGGAAAACATAAATATGAAGATTTTAAGTGTCCTATATATTCAACTAATGGAAATTGTGTTACTGAAGATCCTAGTGAATTTAATAAAGATATGTGTTTAAAAACAGAAAAATGTCATTGGGATATTCTATATTCTAAATGTTCATAATATTAATTAAAATCAAGTTGTGAATAAATGGTAAGTGTTTCATCTGATGCTTGCAGTTCATTTAATGATTGTGTATATGATTCAATAAGTGAGAGTTGTAAGATTTAATCATCTTATACAAATTGTGATTCTCCAGGTTTAGCAAAATCTAAATGTTTAGCATTAGATTAATACCCATGTTAATGGATTCGAGGATAATGCATTTAAGTAACTTAATTTAGAGAATTATGTACATCATATAGAAATGTAAGTAAATTAGTTTGTACTTCTTTGGAAACTCAATTATGTTAATATTCAAATGGAAATTGTTTTTTGGTTGATGTTTAACCTACTGATTGTTCTGATAATTATAATAGATTTGCTTGTTAATACAGCACAAATAAATGTTATTTTTTTAATAACAAATGTTTAATTTTTGCAAATGAATAAATCAGTTGTGTAGGATATTACGTAAGTCAGAAAGCTTGTTAAGCAATAACAACGCCTGGTTAATAATGTATATGGGAATCTAATTAATGTGTATAAATTAATAAACGAATAAATTGTTTAAATGCATAATCTTATAAGGTTAATAAATGGGCTTGTATAGGAATTGAAGCAGAGACTTCTGCTTATTTAGATGATCAATTTTATTGTGAATACGATGAAACAACATTAGAATGTAAATCAAAGATTACTGATATAATTGATGATTGCGGAGAAAATTAAAATTTGAATAGATAAAGATGTAGTGGTTTTACAACTGGTAAATTTTGTCTTTTTTAAAATAATAAATGTAATTAAGTAAATTTGAATCATAAATATTGGGATGATAAATTAGATAATATTAAGTGTGAATAAGCAAATAAATCTCTTTGTAGATTTGTTAGAGGAAGAGTATGTTAATGGGTTTAATAATTATGGTCTGGTTATAAAGATTAAAGATGTGCAGAAGTTAAAATTTTTAATATAAAATGTTCTCCAAATTCATATCCAGAAACATAACATTTTGATCCACAAACCTATAATCCTTAATCCTGTTCTGTACTTATATACTTAAGTGATATTGAGAGATGTAAACCTTAAACAAATCCAGCAACATTATATACAGAATGTATTATGGATGAAACAAATCCATAAAACTATTACCCTTGTGATCAATTAGGAATTAGTCCCTCAATTTGTATTTCTACTACTTATGGAAAATGTGCTTATATTAATAATGTTTGTGTTCAAGCTCCTGAATTTTCAGCTCCCTGTTCAACTCTAAATAAATATGCTTGTTTAAACTCAAGATATTTATGCTCACTTATGTCTTAATACTCTTTAACTTTTGACATGGGAACAATCCTCTTAGGCAAATTAGTTACTTAAGTATGTGATACATAAATACCTAACTAAAACTGTGAATCATTTAAATATGAAACATAATCTTGGACATTTTGTAGTTCATTATAATAATGTTATGGTAGATAAAAAAACTGTCTTAAGCTTTTAGATAATTAAATTCCAATAACAACATGTGATTCACCTGGGGTTAGTTAGTATGTTTGCTTACATTCTAATATGATATGTTAATTTAGAAATAATCGTTGTTCAACAATATCTACAAATAAATGCGAATTTGAAAATAATCTTGAAGATTGTGTTTAAAATTTATATTATAATTGTGTCTATTCAAATAACAAATGTTATACCTAAAATTTAGTTACCAAATGTGACAAATATAGTTATACAAACAAGAAATTCTGTAGACAATATTCCAATTGTAGATATGATTCCAAAACTTATAAATGTATTGATTTCGCTATATTGATGGATGTCTAAAATAACATAGTAAATTATAATACAAATTGTTCAACCTATACAAATTAGTTTGATTGTTTGAATTAATGGAAAACTAACTGTCATTATAATAATAATCTTTGTTCAGCACCATCCACTACGCCCTCAAATTGTCCTCATTTATAATAATACAGTAAAATGATCTGTCAAAAATTTCAAGATTGTGATTTCAAATTTGGATACTATTGTATTGACAAAACTTTAACAATAACTTGCGCATAATTATCAGAAAATATTTGTATTTAAGATATAGATTAAAATTTATTATGTTATTGGGATGGAACTTCATGCCAAGATATCAATACTTAAATATGTAGTGATATTTTAAATAAAAAAATAAATTACTTTGGTTGTTAAAAAGTTAGTTAGAATGATAGTTCTAAATGTTTTTATTCCGAAGAATAAAAACTATGTAAATTAGTCAAAGAAATTAATTAATGTTCTGATTTCAATACAAATATTGAATGTGCATTAAGAGCATAAGTACCATGTATTGTAGTTAGTCCAAACACAGATAGTTCTAGCTGTAATACAGCAACATTAACATATAATATAAATTTGAATCATTATGGATGCACTTAATTAGTTGGTGATAAATATAGATATGATTTATATGATTATTAATGTAAATTATTGGTTGGAAAAGAAATGATTGGATGTGAAAATTTGAATATTGATGCATGTATAAAGAGTACAAGTAGTTATTTGAGATTAATGTGTGGATGGATAGATTAAAAATGTTAATAAATAAAAGATTTTTCAAATATAAATGATTGTACAAAGTTAAATAAATTTGCTTGTATGAGAATCGAAAAGAATGATTTAATTTGTAAATGGGATGATACAACATTTTGTGGAACTTCAAGTGAAAGTTCAAATTGTATTTCAATATCCCCAACAATACCAATACCAATAGCAAGTTCAGATGCATCAAAACCTTATCCACCAAAACCTTATGTATAAGAATAGGCTCCACATAATTCTTTAAGTTTATGTAGTAAAGGGGAGAGTGGAAAAGCCTGTATGTCAAAAGTAGGATAAAAAGGTTGTGTTGAATTTAATTATACAATAGAGATTTGTTCAGGATTAGGATTAAATAAAAAAGCTTGCATAGAATAAACAACAGCATATTGTATTTGGTAGAATAATTAATGTTAAGATTCATAATTAGATAATTAGAATTGTAATGCAGAAGTTAATAAGAAAAGTTGTTTAGCTATGAATGATGAAATGTGTAAATGGAATGATAGTACACATTTATGTTCATCTCTTACATTAGTTTAATGTTCAGATGCAACTACTTATTTATAATGTATGAATGTACCAAATATGCAATGTTATTTTGTAAATACATGTTAAGAATTAAAAATAACGCCTTTAATTTGTAAATAAGGTTATAATAAAGTGGCTTGTAGAAAAGTTTAAAATTAAGTATGTTAATATATTAATAATGAATGTTCTCTTATTGCAGAATTTGATTACTGGTAGATTTGTCCATAATACAAAACTTCTTAAACATGTCCTACTGCTACTTGTGAATGGGAGAATTCAAAATGTAGAATAAAAACTGAATGTTTAAGTGAATAATAATCATAAACAAATCCTCTTGATGAAATTCCTCTTATGCTAAATGTCTGCTCTAGAATAAAATTATTTGCCTGCGTTTAAATTTATAATAAAATTGGATGTATGTAAAGTAGTCTATATTGTAAATGGGATGATATTTTAGGGTGTTCTTCATTTATAACGCATTTAACTTAAATTGTTTGTGATGATTCTTTCAAATTTAATAAAAAAGTATGTGATAAATATGCTCCTAAATTTTGTGAATTTAAAGATGATTCTTGTTCACCAAAAATATCAGATTATTATTTTACAAATATCCCAAATTAAACTTTAGCAAGTTCTGAAATTATTCAAGATATTGAAACTAATACATGTGATTTTTATGCTACAAGAGAAAGTTGTTTAATTTCTACTAAATATGCATGTATATGGAATGGATTATGTTAATCAATAAATAATAATGAAAATAATATTATTTATTCTGATCTCAATTTAAAAGCATGTATTTTATTTAAATAATAATGGAGATAAAGATAATGTTTTGAAACAAACTTTTTATTTAAACCTAATGAAGTTACTGATGTAAATGTTCAAATGTGTGATACTCAATTTATATCGAAATCTACTTGTATTAATATAAGTTCTGAACCTTGTACATTTAATATTAACACTAATAAATGTGAGAAAACTATTAATCTTAATAATAATTGTTCATATTATGAGATTGTTAATCAAAAAACATGTTAACTTTTAAAAAATTATGCATGTCAATATAGTGAATAAGCATTTTCATGTGTTAGTGTCAATTAAAATATAATACCTTAAAACTTGGATGGAATATCACTTAAAGCATGCATTTCTTTATCTATTCCAGTATATTGGAATAATGGATGTAAATAAGTAAATCTATTTTAATGTGATTTAAATTTTAAAAGTTCACCATCAGCTTGTGCATTATCATTAACTCCGTGCATTTATGATTAATTAACATCAATGTGTATATCCAAATTTAATATAAATTCAATATTTTGTGATAATCCAGGAATCAGTTAAGAACTTTGTACGTCAATCATTAGATAACCTTGTATTTTTAAATCAAATCAATGTTAACTCATATCAAATAACTTGTCATGTAGTTAAGCTAAACTTGTTAATCAATTAGCATGTGCATCTTTAAATTAATCTTGTGTTTATGATACATTAAATAAATCATGTAAGGCTGTTATCTAAGCTTAAAAATGTTCATCATTTGGATTATCTAAAAATGCCTGTCTCTTAAACCCATCTTGCACTTTTAATTATGATTATACTTAATGTTAATGCTCATACATAGTTTAACCATAAATTTGTCATAAACTTTCAAGTTCTAATTGTTAAACTAATCCATAATGTATCTATGATGCACTCCTACAAGTATGTAGACGTAAATATTGTGAAGATCTATAAAAGAAATAATGTGTAGGATCATTAGAAGGCAAATAATGTTATCTAAATGATGGAGCAACTTGTTAATCAGCAGCAAAATGTGAAGATATCATAAATGTTAATGAATCTTTATGTTAAGATATGTTCTTTGATGGATTTCCATGTTTAGGTGCCAATCGTAGATGTTTTAGTTAAAATAATTTCTTGGATTACTGTCCTAATTCTGATTGTACAAGTAAAAGTTGTAAATACAACTAATCAAAAGTATGTTAAGCTTTAACATGTTCTGAACTTGATGATTGTGCAAAATTAGGAAATCATTGTCTATAACTCTCTAATGGCACATGTATTGAAAATAATAGTTGCTAAAGTCTAGAATCAGAGATATGTAATGGAGCCACTGTTAGAACTTAAGCATAATGTTTATTACAGAAATATAATCTTTATCTAGATGATATCATGTGTACATCATAAGTCTGTGAATTGTATGGTATTTCTGATTTGTGTAATGGAAATGAATACAATGGATTTACATGTTTATTAGTTGATTAAAAATGTCTTCCTTGTGAATAGATTCTTGATGTTTGTACTTGCATGGAAGCAACAGGTATTTGCTTATGGAAAAATAACAAATGTCGTTCAGTTTAATGTAGTGAATTTTTAGATGAAGTTTCTTGTAACTCTTTATCACGTTGTACTTGGAGTTAACCAAATAAAGCATGTCTAATCCATTGTAATAAAGTCATCAATTCTGATGAATGTGATTCTAGAACTTAAGAATGCTACTATGATTTTGCCATCAATTATTGTACCGCTGGTGTCTACTAATCACCTAATTTATCTATAGAAATTAATATTTAATCTACTTATTAAATATATCTAGCATTATCAATTGTTAGTTACATATTAATTTTATGATTTATTACAATTAAAATATTATATTTATTTTCTTAAATACAATAGTTTCAATCATAATCAGTCAATAATATATGACATTACTAATCCAACATTTAATCCTAATATTCATTTGAAAATAGAATTAGCTGGAAGCTAAAAAGATATAAAAATATTAGTCACATAATTTTTAAAAATTCTATCAATGCAAAATGTTAAATCTAATTTTTAAAAATTTTTAAATCATAACTATTTTTATTTACAATATTAAGTTATAATATATTTCTAATCTTTAATTAATTCAAACATATATTTAATTTGCTTTAGCTTTGAATTATATACTGATAGATGAATAAAATATAAGATCAATATCGACAATAATTTTAAGCATCTTTATAATTGAATAACACATAATAAAATGGACAATTATTTAAAAAGAGTACCAAGAAATATTTAATTTTTTAATCATTTCTAAAAATAACAGTTAAAATAGAAATAATATAATTAATAAATAAGAATTTAAAAGTATAAAATTATTTTCTTTTATTAAAGTACAGTATAATATATTAAGGATTGCTACTTAATATTTTTAATATCAAATATGAATAGAAGAATAGTATATTAGGGAGAAAAAGCAACAGTTAAATATGAAGGTCCGTTAATTCATGAAAATAAAGAGGAGGAAATTTGGTTAGGAGTTGAATGGGATTAAGTTTAAAGAGGAAGACATAATGGAACTGTTTGTGGATACTCATATTTCAAGACAACTGATGGAAAAAATTCAGGGAGTTTATTAAAGAAAGAAAAAGTTAGTTTTGGTCATAGATTATGGGAAGCATTATTTTTGAAATATTTCAAAGAAATCCCTCCTTAATTATTGTAAGAAATGGAATTGAAGGAATAAGTAAAAGATGAATTTCTTTAAGAGCATTAAGATCTAACAAATAATTAAGATGATAAAAGCAAAATGATTACCCTTATTAATCAAAAATAAGTGAAAATTGAATTCGATGACACAGCTTTTTTTGAAACAATGAAAAAAAGAAAAAAAATGGTAGAATTTTATGGATTTGATGAGATATACAAAAAATTAAATAATTTAGAAACCTTATAGGAGTTATCATTAGAGTCTTAAAATGTATCAACAATAGGACCATTTGGTTTTGTTGGTAGTATTTTTAAAAATCTAAAAATTTTGGGATTAGAAAACAATTTATTTAATTCCTGGCATTAAATATTTGTTTTGGTATCATAACTACCAACTTTAAAAGAATTATCCATATCAAATAATAAATTATAAAAATTGGAAACATTCGGTTAAGAATAGTTTTAAGATTAAATATTGACTTAATCTCCTGAATATTTGATTTATGATTATGAGTAAGGAAAACACTTAGAAATTTCTGTAAATGGTTGTGGTTCTCATTTAGAAGTTTTGGTTTTAATAGAAATGTAATTAACTTGGTAGGATATTTCCTTAATTATTCCTGCATTTCCTATGGTTTAATAATTATTATTATGTAAGAATAATTTGGTTGATTATGAGAATTTGAAATTTAGAAACACAGATTTATAGGCTTTAAAATTATTGAATTTGCAATAAACTGACTTATCATAATTTGAATGTATTTAAAAATCATTTGGAAATTTGCCAAATTTAGAGAGACTTATTTTAAATAGAAATAATTTAAAGGATTTACCCTTAGTTACTGATTTTAATGCTCTAAGACATATAGCTTTAGATCATAATCAATTTATATAACCATAATTTTTAAATAAATTAAGAAATTTATAATTAAATTCCTTATCCATCAAACATAATCCATTGGTTGATAAATTAGGTAAATTATATGTTAGGTAAAGAGCCATTGCAGAGGTTTCTAGTGTTTAAATTATAAATGGTAGTGAAATAACTAAATTTGAAAGAAAGGACTCTGAAATATTTTATTTAAAATCTTCATTTGAAGAATATTTCTTATTAAAAAATGTAAAGCATTACTATTATGATTTTGATGATTTTACTAATTATGCTAAGTAAAATCATCCAAAAGTTATTGAATTAATAAAAAAATATGGAAATCCTTATGAAATAGATCCAACTGTTAAAGGAGCATATACTTAAGCAAAATTACAAGTATAATAACCTTAATATTGCACAATTAAAATAATTGATCATGTTGGAAAACTAAAAGATAAACCAACTCCTAAAAAACTTATGGGAAGTACTGGATTATAACCTGTTAAAATGATGATTTCAAAATTAGTTAACATACCTATCAAATAGATAGCTTTATCAATTTAAGTTTTATTTTTTATTTTATTTTAGGTAACTGATGATGCTGAAATAATTAATATGGAAGGAAAAGATATGACTTTAAATGATTTTGGTGTTCAAGACAATAGTCTCATTCATGTTAATGTGATACCAGAATGATATATTTATATAATAATATTTTTATTTATTATTATTATGAAAGCATTGAAACCTTGGAAATAACCATCTTAAAATGAAATTGCTCTAGAGTAGCATATAATGATGAGAAGATTAATTAGTCTGGAAAATAAACCATTTATTAATTTAAATTAATAAATGAAAGACTTCAAAGCACATTAAGAAATTATTGAAAATCGAAAGAAATGGTTTCTCCAATAATACAATTTTTCTCATAGACATAATAAATAAAAAAAAAAAAGTTGGGCTCTTAATGATAAAATTATTAGCAAGTCAAAATCAAGTTAATTAAAGCATTTATGAAATTTATTTAATTCATATCATTAAAAAATAATTATTGAATTGCAAAAATTCGTCTAATTGTTTATTTTTTTGTGATCTTATTTAATCATTATTTTTAATCAAAAATATGATCAGGCTATAAATCTAATCAGAAAATTTATATATTTAAATCTTTTAACTTCTATTCTATTAAGTATTCTCAAAATTTTGATTCACTAACTTTTTTTCAGCCGATGTTTTATTATTTTATGAAATAATAAATTATCATTTAAATCAATAAATAAGGCTTTATGCAGACCTTTTAGTCACATACTAGGTTCAACAAACTTTAGAAATTATTAAGAGTTATATTAAAAGCAGGAACATAAAATTATTAATAAACTTTAATTTTAAATTTGGATTTAAATCTAAATTTTTTCTGATATTCTGTAATTATATATTACGTAAGAATAAATAAATGATACAAATTATTAATAAGAGACCCATAATATTATATAAAGCTAAAAACTTTGGATTTTAGAAGAAGAAAATGAAGATTTGGAGGTTTGTTTGGTATAAATATTATTAATGTTAAGGTTATAGAGCATAAATTTCCTTTTTACAGATTTAATGGTATACCTTAAAAAAGAATCAAGTGGATTAACTTAATATTTGGGTGAAGATTAGAAAGAATTATAAGTTTAATTTTTAATAGAAGTTGAAAATTTTAAGAATGAATTATTCGAAATATATTTTGTATTATTTGTTAGCTCAATATTTATGTGGAGAAGACAATAAATTTTTTATGAAGACAAAATGTAAGCAGTTAGAAAGAATCTATCAAATAAATATACAAATGGAAAAATTATAAAATAGATAATTTAAATGAGTAAAAAATCCATGAGTATTATGTAACATAATTGCCACAAGATACCGAATCATCAGAAATGAAGATCACTGCTAGAATTAAGTGTTCAAAATTATTACATTTTAGATTTGTAATATCACTATAAGTTTAGTGAACAAATTTCATTGTGCATTTTTAGAAATTCTTCCTGTAACTTGAAAGAAATCTATACCAAGGAATTCTATGAGAGTGTCAAAAAGGAATTTGATCATTAATTAATCATTTTTGAATATATGATAAGTTTCTTATAGAAAAAATGATGAACAATTAATAATATGTTTTAATTTTGTTAATAATATGGTATGGAATAAGAAATAAAATCATAATTGTTTCTATTGTTTATGATAAATTCCACTGGTTATAGATTTAAATATCTTTAAGCGATGCCTAATTTATTAGAAATAATGGATACTTCTTTTTAATAGAGCCCACTTCAATTTTCTCAACTTAAGTCCAATACTTTAGTTAAGGCATTTAATATTTGGTCAGTGTATGTGAAAATTAACATCTCTGGCCATATTTACACCAAATTTCTTCAAAATTTTTACATTCTTTAGTTCTATAATTTTTAGGAACATCTTTTGACAACAATTAATCTTCACCATGTGCAAAGTAACACTAACAATCTAGAAAAATTTAATTACTTTATTGCCATATGGACATAATTTTCCTTCAGTCCAATATTTACAGAATTCTGTCTTCAATTTTACATTCAATGTTCCATAATCATCTTAAGTTGATGTAGAAGACAGATAGTCTTCACAATCTGCATACATTCGATAAGTTTGAGTTTTATTAAATATATTTATATATTGATATTCACTCTCAATTCATATGATTCAAAAATATGTCATGTGACTTATTAATTAATAAACCAGTTATCAATTATAAATTTTAAATTTATTTCAAAGTCAAATAAGATTCAATTTTTCTCCTGATTGAGTTCCTTTAGCCATCATTTGTAATTATAATAAATATTCATAATAATTATTCTTCTAACTCATGTTAGTAGTAAGTTTTGCGCATTTGTTTTCTACTAAAATACTCTTTAAATCTTTTATTGTTGTACTTAATAGAAAATAGTAAAAACACCTAAATTATTATCTTTAATTGACAATTTTAATGAAGTAGATATTAAATGTGAAATACAACAAATACTTTAATAAAATTTTTAAAATTTCAATGCAACCTTCCAATAAATCAAATACTATTCTGTCATGTTGTAAAAATCAAAATCAAATTCTAAGGGTTATTTATATTTATTTATCAATTTTTTTATGATTTGGCAACAAGCATAACTACTTTGAATTGATCTTTTCATTCAAAATTTCTAAAATATTTATCATCTATAATATGTTAAATTATTAGACATAAAGCCTTAAGAATCTTTCTTTAACAGAATGATCCTAATTGTATTTTATCCTTGCAAGATATTGCAATACACCTTTTAAAATTTCTAGTTTATATATGATTCTTTAAACCCAATTTTTACAACTCGATCGTATTTCTTTTGATGTAAATTATAAGCCTTCTTTGAATTGGAAATAAATATCTACCCATTCCATCATTTATAGGAGTTGGAATTTATATCAATGGCTTTTGTGCTTAACTATTTTCTATTTAATCCTACTCCATAACTAAAGTATTTTTTTTTAAAAAGTTTCTCAAATTATTAATTATTAATTTCAAAGAGCGGTAATACAAGTAACTATTATGTTTGGAGGTAATAAAAATAATTTATTCCTTATTTTTGGTTTCTCTTTATATTTTGTTAGGATATTATGATCTATCGTTCATAAAATCTTTAGGAATTAGTTTACATTACTAGTTTATAATTATTCTATAATAATCCTCTTCAATCAATCATTATTTAATTAAATCAATCAAAGTCAAATTATGACCATTTATTAGATTTAAAGTATTATTATAGAGTTTATAGAGTTCAAAATAATACTTTTAAGATAAAAATATTTCATTTTAATTTATAATTTATTACTCTGATTTTTAGATACTCCTAAATATATAAATTTATAATATAATTTTCTTGTTTATGTTAATTTTTTCTAATTAATACAAATAATTTATTAAATTAATTAAGATTTCCTTTTGTTTACAACCATCAAAAACAACCGAATACAGTAAATACTCTAAGGAATTTTTAAAAAGAAATACACATCGTAAACTTAAATGTTTTACTGCAAGAATATTTAAATAAAATTTAATCTAATATAGAAATATCAATTCTGATTGGAATTCTAATTTTTATTTTAAAACAAAGAACCAAATACTAGCTCACATCAATATATCAAATCAAATTTTTTTAGAGATTTAAAAGATGAATATTTGATAAAATAATAGGATAAAATTTTATTTAAAAAAAACTTAATCAATTGATTTTTTACCAATTCTAGTTTTTAATGAAAATGTGAGACAAGAATATATATAATTAATTTAGGTATAAAATATTTATTTATTTTAGCTTATTATCAATGCTTATTACTATTCAATAAATATAAATTTTTATTTTTTTACATTCAAGAGAATAATTTAAATTTTAATTTCTGAAAAACAAAGAAGCTTTTTGACTAATAATTTAAAACAAATAACAATAAACTTTTAATTTGAAATTACTAAGCAAATAGTTTAAAAATTAAAGGAATATATAAATTACTGAAATGACTAATAAAATTTATCCAAAGTTGATAAATTATTTAAATTAGGCCTCAAAATAATAAATTTTTAATTGAATAAAGATTAGGAATATTATTAGAAAGCATTTAAATCTTTCAAAATTTTTTAAAATTATAATATATTAGAATCAATATTTATTTATGAATAAAATATTAAATTATTATTATTAATGAATAATTAAGATCTTTCAAAAACAATTTAAACTAATTTGTTTTAAGGATTGATGAATAGAGACTAATGCATGGAATTAGCTAAAAAAATTATGAAGCTTTATGATTCAGATTAAAATAATTTAATGGAAGTAAAAGATGCAGGAAACTTGTAATCTGATTGCTATAAAGCAATAAATCTTGATTTTAATCCTTCTTAAAGTGATATCAAAGGATATGCAAAAATTTTCAATCGTAAATGATACTATTTAACAATATAGGAGATAATACAGGAAAAATATCGGTAAATGATATTGAACTCTTGTGTTTTAAATATTTTGGAGGTAATACTGACTTGACAAATTAGAATTTATAGAAAGGAGAAACTACTAAAGTAAGTCCTATCTAAGCTGAAGAAAAAGTAGACACTCCTTCCAAATTATAATATTCATCAACTTACAGAAGATGGGGATCTTAAAAATCAATCTAAGGTTCTTAAACTTCTATATAACCTAATCAATAACAAGCATCATAATCTTGTGTTGTACCTTGTACAACATAATAAGAACCTCAAAAGTACAGTAAATTAGCAGAATCACGATTACAGGTTGCTAGAAGAATTTTTAAAATGCTAGACTAAGAAAATAATGGATTCATAACAGAAAAGCATGTTTCTCCTTTGTTGGTGGAAACATATAAAAATATGGGAATGCAAATTGAACCAACAAGAGAAGATATAGATATGTGGATGGAAATGGCTGATCAAGATAGAGATGGAAAAGTCTACTTGATTGATTATGAAGGCTTAGTCTTAAAAAGTCTAAGATCATAAGGTATAGAAATAGATTGACAAATTCATGTTCGTTATATTTATAATTTCATGTTTTCCAATTTTTTAATGCATTATTCATATTTCTTTAGATAATAGTCTAAAAATAATAACAATATCACTTACTTCTACATTTCAAGTCATTAAATCCATATTCTCTCTAACATAGTAAAAAATCATCATATCTATCATGACATTTTTGTTCTTTTATTTAGACTGCGAATTAATTAGTTGAATACCTTTTTCTTAAGTAATAACTACATTATTTCCCATAAATATAAATAATAATAATATATAAATTTATTCATTTTTTAAGCATACTTTCTTATATACGAGATAAAAAAGACTTTCTTGTTTTCAATTATTATTCTATTGGTATTCTATTAATAGTTTATTCAATTGATTTAACAATTTAAATATTTTTCTCTCTTAGATTTTTAGAAATTTGTGATTATTCAATTGGCTGCTCATGTATTGTTGGTGCTTTGGATAAATTAGTTTCATAATCAGAAACTAATGATTTAAGATTCTAATTAATTATGATATTTTATTTACCATCAATTCACCTTCATTAAAAATAGACTTTTTTTTTATTATTTATTATATTTAAAATCTCATTTTATTTTCGATATCTTATGTCCCTTATAATGTTAATCTGGCAGTATTAATGCCTTCTAAATGTTCTTATTCTTTAGAAATATCAGAAATGATTTTCATTATGTTTGAATGTGTTGCCACTCTTTAATGAGAATACTTTTGAAATTTTAATAATTTTTTCCCTACTAACATATCTGATTAACAAACTTTATCTAATTCTTCTTACAATTATATTTATTGCTTTACTGATTTCAAAGATTTAATTTAGTTTGCACTTTCAAATGATTATAAAACTTTCTATTAATAATATAGATCTAATTCTTTTTTTGCTTTTAAAGATGAAAAAGTTTCAATCTCTCTTTATGGTAATCTCTTTAAAATTTAATCAATATCCGAAGTAAACTTAAGTGACTTGCTTTTTTTATGTGTTACTATGGAAATTCTATGTGAATTCTAAGGGGAAGGATTATTAGTAGTCTGTTTACTAATTTTTACATCATCCAAAGAATTAAAAGTTTTACATTTTTCATGTTAACGGGGTGTATGTATATTAGATTGAATTGTTGTTTCTTATTCAGTTAATCGAACCAATAATTTCTTATTATAAATAGATTCATCTGGTTATTGTAAAATAGAATATAAATTTAAATTAATCTCTTTATTGTATTTTCTATAAAATCCTTCATTTATTTTAGTCCAATAATCATTGCTTGTATTATCAATATGATGTTTATTAGATTAAGGAAAAAGAGGAGCCAAAATTTAATTCACTTCTTTTATTTCTATCAAGAATTGTCTATACTAAAAATTTTATAGAAAATACTTTACTTTATTAAAATACTCAGAATATTTATCATCTATAAAAATAGACAAACCTATATTATTAGTTATTTGAGACAACCATTATGCCATTTTATATGTTTCTAATAACTTATTATAATCGGATTGTAATTCATATATAAAACTAACAATATAGAGTGTCACAATTATCCATGATATTACTTTATAAAATTAGTCTTCTAATATTTTGAGATGATAATCTTAATTAATTATATCCATCAGAAGATATTAACATTCAGTTATGGCTTCATTATAATATGAAATAGCAGGCTCATATAACTTAAATTAAAAATGCAGGTGTCCAACTAATAAGTTATACTAAAATTTAATTTTATTGAATCGAGAATCTTTATAATAACAAATTGGCTTCCAATAAAGTACACATCGAACATCTTCATGTTACTTTGATAATGAAAATGTCAGCAATTAAATTTAAGAAAATCTATATAGAATATCCTTCAAATAAAACTTTTCTAATTAATTTCTTATCAATTTTTACTATATTCCTTTGCTTAGTTTTCTAACATTTCAATATAAAACAATAAGAATTGTTGTAACTTTCTCACTAAATGTAATTAACTCTCTTATTTATTCCCTTCTCTAGAATATGATTTTAGAATCTTAATTAGACATACTATTCCTCTTCTTAGTAATTGTATTCGAATACGCCATCCTGTATGCATAATTAATGATCTTTCAAATTCTTTGTTTATTAATGCAAATCCAGCTTTATATTTCCCCTAACCTATTGTTTTAATATTGCAAATACGTATAATCTTTGTTATCTCTATAATTTAATTTTAGAAATGATTTTCTTATATAATCGTTAACTATTTGGTATGACTTCTCATAATATAAAAATTATAAAATCAAAAAATATATTATTTTCCAGTTTTTAAATTATATATAATAGCAAAAGACTAAAAGGATAATGAATATTATGCTTTTCATCAAAAGTATAAAAATCATTTTCATTTAATTATAGATAGTTGTATCAGAAAAAATATGTATTTATACATAGACTTAAATTATTTAATTTATGATAATAAATTAGTTCAATGTTTTTTTTTATATTAATATTACAAAAAAATTGTCAAATTTATAAAAAAAAACAAAATTTAAAAAAGTGAAATTTTATGTTTAATTTTAGTAAATTATAAAAAATAATCATTTATTATGTAGAGAGTTTTTCAATCTTGAAGTACTACTATAAATGTTTTGCTAATTTAACGAAGTTAAGGTATTAGCCCTTTCTTATAATGGTTTTGGTTATTAAACATCTATTTAAGAAGAGATTCCATTATTATTATTAGTACCACTAAGCATCTAACTTAAAATTTCCTTAGTATATTTGAGTCTTTTAACCATTTAATTATTTTCACTTTCTAAAGCAGTGTTCAACATAAAGGTTGATTTAACTAATTCTTTATCAATATAAGTAACGACCTTTAATTATTAGGTTAGAATAATTTGAGAATTATCATTAAAAATAACTTAGACAGTCTTATCTGACAATCTAAAAATGATAGCATGTTTAGCTTTCATCCATTTTTTAACATAAATTTGTTACCAAAACTATTGATCAGTTTCACTAACAATTTCATTTTCAATTAAATATCCTTTAAAATGAATCATCAAAGTAGATTTTTTTTGCATGTCTGGACTTTGTTCTCTAAGAGTTCCTTCTTTTTCTTGACCATTTCTATCAAAATATATAAATTTGCTAAAATTAAATTAATATATTTACTCATCATTTAACATAAGCATTTTGGAACAATCATTGAAAAAGACACCACATTATAAATTATTAAAAACATATCCTAATCCATATTTACTAGAATAATCAACCCTGAGAATAATAAAAATAATATATGTACCATTTTTTAACATAGATTTATGGTTCTTAAATGACATAATTCTAATTAAGACAATTATCGATATTAGGACGTAGAGGAATTCTATCCATGCTAGCATATTAAGGACGTTATTTGAGATCAAGAGGACGTTTTTCAGTATTTTCAAATTTAGGTATACTGGTAGATTATTATTTTTGATACTATCTCATATATTATGAAGAAGGAGGACAAGCTAAAGTACTTAAAGGTAATAACTAAGGAATAAGACCATGAAAAAATTCATGATCTTAAATTTCTTGAAGTGTTAATCTTTTGGAGGGTTCAGTCACAAGAATCTTACTAATTAATTATCTTGCAGAATTGCTTATGATACTAGATTCAGGGAATTAATATGCATTCATTTTGATTCTTCTATAAGTAGTTTTTACATCAGTTGTTTCAAAAGGAGGTTTACCAATTAATAGAGTATATGCAATTACACCAAATGACCATATATCTACTTCAAAACTATGACCATTTTTAGATTCAAGAATTTCAGGTGCAATATAATTTGGAGTTCCACAAACTGTACGTTTTCTTTCACCTTCAAATTCTATTAAAGTGGCTAAACCAAAATCTCCTAATTTGACTTCCATTTTATCAGATAAAAATAGATTTCCTAATTTTAAATCTCTATGAATAACTTTATGCTTATGTAAATATTGAAGTGCAATTAATATTTACATTAGATAACATTAAACTTCAAGTTCAGTTAATCTTTTTCTTCTTTTAAGTAATTCATTCATAGTTTGATTAGTACATAATTCCAATAATATATACACATTTTCATCATCTTCAAAATATCTATGGAATCCAACAATATTTTGATGTTGAAGGCTTCTATGTATTTTTATTTCTGACATTAATTTTTATCTAGCTCTTGATCTTGTAAGACTTGCTTTGCTTATAATTTTACTAGCATATGATTATTCTGCATGTTAAAATTCATAGCATTTAGCAAAGCCTCCCTTACCCAAGAATTTACCTTTAACATATTGACGCACAGTTTTATCCTTACAAATTTCCTCTACAATATCCATTTTTTTTTTAACGATTAAATTTAATATCAGAATTTATAATCATTAGGTCTCACCAACAATGCTTCATGATTCCACTCTTTCATATGTTCTATAACTTAATTTATCATCCCTCTAAATCCTAATTTATGATTATCAGTATTGCTTAAAAACTATCTATAATTTTTATTGTTAGATTCTCCATTAAATAGATTTATTATTGGTTTTACGCACATTTAAGTTGATCCCTTACAACCATTAGCTCTTTTTTGTTCTACAAACTCTGCATAATACTTTATTAAAATATCAAATACATACTTCTAATATCTCTTTTCTATTGTAATTTTGATTTTATTCTCCATAATATCGTCTATCAAAATCACTAAATATCCATGGATTCTCATGAGCTGTACGACCAATCATTATTCCATCTACATTTGGTAATACTTATTCAATATGCTCAGTACATTTTATACCACCATTCAAACTAAATGTAATTTAAGGAAACTCTTTCTTTAATTAATAAACTAATTAATTGATCATTAATACCCCATTCATATTTTAAAGGTGGAACTGTTCTATTTTCATGTGGATTCAAACCTTTTAAATATGCTTTACGAGCATGCATTATAAAATGATTCACTTCTCCTTCTTTATTAACTATTTCTATAAAATCTCTAACAAACTAATATGTGTCCAAATTATCAACTCCAAGTCTACATTTAACAGTACATGGTATTTTTACAGCTTCTTTCATTCTTTTCATACATTTTGCTACTAAATGTGGCTCTTTCATTAAACAAGCACCAAATGCTCCATCTTATACCCTCTCAGAAGGACATCCTATATTAAGATTTATTTCATCAAAGCCTGCCTATTCAACTATTTAAGCAGCCTTAGCCAATTTTTCAGGATCATTACCTCCCAATTAACAAACAACTGGATGTTCAACTTAAGAATAGTCTAATACAAGTGGAAATGGCTTCAAAATTCGACTTAAATTAATAGCATTTTCATGAATCATCTCTGTATATAGTACACAATTCTTTGTTAGAAGTCGAAAGAACACTCTAAAGTGTTCATAAGTAATATCAATCATAGGGGCAATAGAAATTTTATGTCTAAATGCTTACTCCATAAATAATTTAATAATGTAATCTATTCGTAAATAGCGCATGAATAAAATCATGCAAGTTTAAGGTGAAGTTGGACAACATAAAGGATTTAAAGCTATAAAAATTGTATCAAATGCTCATGAACTCCTCAGAAAAAGTAAATCACTTACAAATTGTATTGGTGATTTAGCCATACAAGATATAACTAAAAAACTGCTTCAAGATTAATTTAACTCTATTAAAAGTTATGATATCCCTAAAAGTGAAGACAAAACAGGTGTTTAATTTAAATCAGTTCATAGTATGTATGATCTATAATCATTAAAAATGACAAAATTATACAAAAAAAATCAAAGAAATGAGATTGAAAAGCAAGTTAGATCATAAATAGCTAAAGAGCCAGATAAATAATTACTACTATCTGAAATATATGAACAATTGGAAGATAATTCTGATGGTGAAGTTCTTAAAAGGAAATAAAACATAAAAGAAGAATCATTAGCAACTCAATCAAAAGAATATGATGATTCTAAAGACTAATTGACAGATCTTAAATAATGGACAAAAAAAATGAAGGAATAAAAAAAGAAGTTATAAAATAAAAAAGAAGAAAATGAAACAGTAGTACCTCCAAGAAGTAAAGAAAGGGCTTTAACTGAAATAAAGAAACCTTTAGTTCGTTAATAGGGAACACAACATTTGTAAATTAATTAATCAAATTCTCCTACAAATTCTTCAAATACTCCTAAATCCTATAAGGATATAATGAAAAATGCAATATCTAAAGCTAAATAACTAAAAAGTTTAAATGAAGATTTAAGTGTTGAGCGATCTGTTGAATAATATCTTTAAAAAGCATCCACAGTAGCATTGAACGAATTAAAAGAGATTGGAGAATTAAATGTTGATGAGGAATAAGGCCTTTCTACCAATTTTGATTACACAAATGAAGATATCTAAAGAATGTATAATACACTTGTTAAAGTTCAAATGTCTTAATTTAAATCTGAAGCAGAAAAAGCTAAATTTTATAAAAAATAAACTTAATTAATAGCAAATAAATTAATCTAAAAAATTAAACAAAATGAATCAATCATTGATGCAAGAGTTACAACTTAAGAAAAACTGAGATTAGAAACACATGATTTTCATGATAAACTATCTCAAATCAAATAGTTGTCTTAATAATTGCAACAAGAAATACAGGATATGAAAGATACTAAATCATCTAATAGTGTTATTAAATCTCGTATGTCTTTAGTCAACTAATTAATGAGTTAATAAAACAAAGAAAAAGAGTTATTATAAGATTTAAATGTTTTAAAAGAGAGCCGTATAGCATATAAGCATAAAATTATTTTTAATAAGAAAACTTTAGAATAAATAGATTCGGATATTTAAATTAAAAAAAAAGAAAATAAAAATTTAAAAAAATGTCTAATCAACTTCTATTTCCAAGTTTTAAAAAATGGTTAAGATGTTAGAAATACTGGAATAGCATGGGTAATATCAAGATTAAATTTTCTAAATGAGAAATCTACATATTAAAGTTTTCCAGAATATTTAGATTAAAAAGCAAAAGAATATTTACTATAAGTATAATTAATATTTAATAAAGAAAGCCACTATGTTATAAGAAATAGAACAGTTAGAAAAAGAATTAAGTGAATCTTTTAAATAATATAAATAAGAATAATCCCTTGATAATAGTTTAGCAATCTTACAATAAAGCTTATCTCATAACGATTCTTTAGAGATATCATCTTTACCTTCTATATTTCCTTATGATAGCAATAAATTATCAGCCATAGATCTTACATAGGCAAGATAAGAAGCAACTAAAAGTAGTCGAAATACTTATCAACTTGAAAAATTAGGTCCGATTACTTTAGGCTTAACAAGCGAAGATGTTGAAAATTTAGAGAATATGTTAACTCGATTAAATTAAAAAAATTTACCTGTGACTAATGGAACTCTTATTTATAGAGAAACTCAAAAAAGAATTAAACAACATCTAAAATAATAAGGATCTATGGATGTCTCTCAAATTAATGATTCATCAACTATATTAAAAGAATAAGCCATTCATTCTTATGATAAATGCAATTCTTAATTAAACAAGATAAAACTAAAAGTATATCTAATAATAAATTAAGCTTTTGCACTTGGATGATGAATAGGTATCTAGAATTGTAAAAGAATTTGACTATAAGAATTATAGTAAACGATTTAGTATAGATCCAATAACTGTAATCTCTTGTTTAGTTGGGGGAGTAAGATGTGATAGAGAGATTGTTAAATAGGGAATGAAGAAAACTCATTATGATTGAAATTAGAGTACTTGATTACATTTGAATTTAAATAAACAAACATCAATTTTCATTTAGAAAACTATTATGAAAATTTAATCAGCTCCATAATTCATCATCTTATTTTTATTTAATCTTTCTTTATTAAGGAATAAGTTAATTATTAGATTTAGAAGTTTCGAAAATCAATTTGCTTATGAATTTCTTAATTTTTTTAATTAGGGGATTCATATTTTATTTTTAAGGTGGTTTTTTTATATCATAGCCATAAAAGTTGTTTTGCAATTTCCTCCGGATGAATCTTCTAATAATCTAGTTTTTTTAGAATCTCTGTATGGAATATAAGATTTCAGTTATTTTTCTTCAGTTAATGCAGAAATATCATTTACTAAAGCAGAAAGAGATTTATTAATTTTTTTTTGATTCTTCTAAACAAATACCTGTAGCTCCTGTGACTCATACTCTTTCACTACCAGCTAAATCTACTAAATTTAATTTTCCAACTCTTGCTCTTTTACCTTCAATTGTTTCTTCTATTTACTCAACTGGTATTATAAAAACAGCATGACTTCTTGATGATTTATTGTAAATATCTAATAATTTTAATTTGTTTAAATTAAAATGATAATTTAAAGTAAATCAAAATTTTGATAAATAATTTTAATACAAATAATTTATTAATTTTTGAATTGAATGACAAATAAATTATAGGAATATTTTATAATATATAATTGTAGTATTGAATTAACAATATCATTCATTCTGGTGCTTGCAGTAACTCTTTTAGCATTACCTCTACCCATAAATTAATAAATTTCAGGTGGAAAACAAACAGCCCATTCTGATAAATTTTCAACAAAAACTCCTCTTTTTTTATCTTCTCTAATATTTAACAATTAATGATCAGATCAAAGAAGATCTCTAATAGATTCATTATAAATTTATAAATATGATGCTCTAACCATGAATGTAGTACTAGAATTAGATTTTATTTAAATGTGGGTAAAAATACTATGAAGTGATCGTGGTATGATTCCTAATTAATCAGAATTGGGAGTAAATGAAAATCCATGCATAGTGTAAGTTCTTCCAGTTTCTGTCTAACCATAAGCCATAATGGNATATCTAATAATAAATTAAGCTTTTGCACTTGGATGATGAATAGGTATCTAGAATTGTAAAAGAATTTGACTATAAGAATTATAGTAAACGATTTAGTATAGATCCAATAACTGTAATCTCTTGTTTAGTTGGGGGAGTAAGATGTGATAGAGAGATTGTTAAATAGGGAATGAAGAAAACTCATTATGATTGAAATTAGAGTACTTGATTACATTTGAATTTAAATAAACAAACATCAATTTTCATTTAGAAAACTATTATGAAAATTTAATCAGCTCCATAATTCATCATCTTATTTTTATTTAATCTTTCTTTATTAAGGAATAAGTTAATTATTAGATTTAGAAGTTTCGAAAATCAATTTGCTTATGAATTTCTTAATTTTTTTAATTAGGGGATTCATATTTTATTTTTAAGGTGGTTTTTTTATATCATAGCCATAAAAGTTGTTTTGCAATTTCCTCCGGATGAATCTTCTAATAATCTAGTTTTTTTAGAATCTCTGTATGGAATATAAGATTTCAGTTATTTTTCTTCAGTTAATGCAGAAATATCATTTACTAAAGCAGAAAGAGATTTATTAATTTTTTTTTGATTCTTCTAAACAAATACCTGTAGCTCCTGTGACTCATACTCTTTCACTACCAGCTAAATCTACTAAATTTAATTTTCCAACTCTTGCTCTTTTACCTTCAATTGTTTCTTCTATTTACTCAACTGGTATTATAAAAACAGCATGACTTCTTGATGATTTATCATTCATTCTGGTGCTTGCAGTAACTCTTTTAGCATTACCTCTACCCATAAATTAATAAATTTCAGGTGGAAAACAAACAGCCCATTCTGATAAATTTTCAACAAAAACTCCTCTTTTTTTATCTTCTCTAATATTTAACAATTAATGATCAGATCAAAGAAGATCTCTAATAGATTCATTATAAATTTATAAATATGATGCTCTAACCATGAATGTAGTACTAGAATTAGATTTTATTTAAATGTGGGTAAAAATACTATGAAGTGATCGTGGTATGATTCCTAATTAATCAGAATTGGGAGTAAATGAAAATCCATGCATAGTGTAAGTTCTTCCAGTTTCTGTCTAACCATAAGCCATAATGGTGGAATTATATCCCTTGTATAGGTATTCCATAGAGTACTAGTGTGTAGAATTGACAGATTGGGCAGCAGTAGTCTCATATACTTCAAGTTAAGTGCTCTCTTAATCATAAACATAATCAAATGTAAATTAATGGCTAAAGCTTCAAAATCTTCATCATGAACCGTTTCAATAGCATGATAATCAAAGATACACAGTTATTAATTATCTGGTGCTGCTTATAACTTTTGTTTAAGTAATAATACACTTATAGTTGATATAAATTTGCCTTCTATGATTTCTCTAGCTATTGGTAGTCTAGCTCTTATGACAACTCTAAGATTTTCATTTGAACCGTCTTTATCTCTAGGTTTCAAATAAATGTCTTAACAATAATAATATAAAAAATAAACAATATTATAAATCAGGAATCATTATAAGTTAATCATAGAATAGAATAGAAGAACTCAAAAAAATAACTTTAAATAGCATAATTACAAAACATTTATTTAATAAATTTTTTATTAAGCTTTGTAAAAATGATTTTTTTATATTTTAAAGAATGGATAAGAAGTTGGTGTATCATAATTATTATTAAATTTCATTTATTTTTTTGTAATATCTTTTTACTTAGAAAGTATCCACCTGTCAATGTAAAAGCTAGAAGTGAAATAACACTAAATATTTCAAGAATAGGTAAACTATTTTATTTTTTCAATTATCGAATCTAAAATTCTGAATAACCAAATGGACTAAAAAAGTAAATTAAGATTGGAATACTTTTAATGCAAAATATCATTTACTTAATGAATTTAGGTCCAAAATGATGCTTGATCATCATATTAAGATATGGGAATAAGTTAAGCAGTTTCAAAAGTGCAGTTTTAATCTATAAGTAAAAAGTCTATAATGCTTAACCTTCTTTTTTCTATTTATTATTCAGCTTCAATTTAATCATATAAACTTATAGCATAAGTCTTATTTTATATGGTAGTAATAATGAGTGGGAGATTGACAAATAGTTTTTCAAGTTAACCCTTAAAGATAAAAAATATAATTTACATGTTTAATTCTAGTAACAATAGCAATATGAAAAACTTTTCTATCAATATTTTTTTAAACAGAAGACCAAGAATCTTTTCTATTTTGTTCTTTAAAAGAATCTGATAATTTAATTTCAATCCCAATATAACACAACAACTTGTAGGCTTCTTTGTAATTAAAAAAGGAAAAGGCACTTGGATATCATGATTTGAATACTTCCACATTGCCAACCATTGGTTTAAGGTTATATCTTATTCCTATGGATAATATTAATTTAGATTAGGAAAATTAGTTCTATACATCACTGGATAAAATATATCATCAAATTATTTTTGACCGATAGTATTGTTCTTTTATTATATAGAATTGGATCTGATTTCGAATATTTATCTCAATTTAGATAAAGCAATCTCACTCAATTCTACAGTTTGACCAGCGTCCTAATCAAATATTAATCTAATTGCTTTTAAATTAATACTCATTTGTAAACATACTTTCATCTAAAGTTAAATCATCTCTATATCTAAAAAAACGTAATATAGTCCAACAGATTTAAATCTTCATTAATTCAATTCCTCTTTTTTATAATGCTATAAATCCTTCTAAAGTGATCACTCTTTTATTTGAATTATCATGTAATTCTTCTTCTATCATATCTTTTATTCCAGCAATATCACTATAATCTAATTATCTCTTAAACACTTTTTTTTAAAACTTTTCTAACTCTGTATCACTCCATACACCATCTCCATCTCTATCACAAATTCTAAAAATTCTAGTTAATGCCTTCTTGAATCCTTCTGTTAATGATTTTTCTGCTATACTATAAATTGGAGCTAAAGGATAAAGAAATGATCTCTAAGCACAATTTATTACATCATATATTCCCTACTTTTTTGAAGATGAACATTCTATTCCCATTTCAACTGACTATATTAATTCAATTTAATACGTTGAAGTCTTTCACTAATTGTTTAATAACTTTGAAAATCCTATGATAATCTTTATCCTCTTCCTAACCTAATAAATCTAGTTTGTTTCCTACTATTATTACAGGTTATTTATATCCTTTATCTCTTAATTCCTTTAACCAAAATCTCTTTAATCTTTCACTTGATCCATCATCATCAATTGCGTACATTAACAAAATCACATCAGCAATCGAAATCTCTTCAGGTAATTAATGTGGAGCACATTTCGTATCTATCAAAATTGTTATACATTCAGGATGATTAAGAATATTTAATGGTATGTTAATTGGTGGATGTTTATCTTATAAACATTCTTAGTTTGAAATTTAATTTAATATTGCTGATACAAATGACGATTTACCAACACCACCTTATATTTATCTAATTTCTTACTATCTCCTATTAATACAAGTTTGAAATCTCTTTTCTTCATTATTATATATATAATTATGAATTTACAATTATTAATTACCTAATTTATTTGTATTTATGATCCTCCTTATCCAAAATATTATAAATTAATTATATTATCTATATTTCTAACTTATAAAAATTACTAAAAGCAAATCTATACACTTATTTTTTAATTCAATCATTTATTTAGAATAATATATCAGTTAATATTTATATTGAAAATATTTGTCCTAAAGCTTAAGAAAAAATAACAAAATTTAAAATGGGATATCAATTTCATGGTTTTTATGATTACAAATCCCTTTCTGTTGAAAAGTATAAAAATCATACTTCAATAATAAAACACTAACAATCAAAAATTTGAAATTTGTTAATGAATAGAAATTAAATAATATTGTTCAATTAACATTTTGTTCATTATTACTCAAAACTAAAATCAATATTTATGTTTACAATTTATTTACATAATTTGACTTCATTGCATCCTTACTTTTTACAATACTTTATGTAATAATATTCTTAGATATAAAATTATGATTAATAATATGATAATAAATAACAACGAATAAAGAGGATCAATTAATAAATCAAATACAAACTTAATCAGCCCAGTAAGAAAGTAATAAGTTTTTCCATTCTATTTAGATCCTCGTCTATCTTTTTAACAACATCTAATTAAAATATAATGAGCTTTAAAGAAATAAGTCCAAAATAATAAGAATTGAATCGTGTTCTCAAATACAATTAAAATCACACCTAAACTGCTACTTCATCAATATACTCTGTTGAGTGTGTCACTAACTATTCTAAAACCAGAAAACGATCAAATTTAGGAGATATGAGTTCAAAACTTATGTAACTTGATGAAGAAATAATAGAAGTTTATAGTGAATTTGAAAAAAATTATAGATCTATTAATTAATTAGAGAAGTTAGAACCCATTTCTTATTAGACTAATTAGTATTTTGAGGTAAAACGTAAAAGCACAAATTAATTAATCCAAACTCAAGATGGATTAATACAATCAGATTTGATGCATGGAGATTAAAATCGAATTAAAATTAATCGCTTTAAATTCAATTATTTTAGAATGAAACTGAGAGGTAGAGTATCACCAATACATGTATACTTTAATGTTCCAGAAAGAGTTTAAACATCTTCTCTAAAAATATTTCTATCAACAAAAGCTGAATTTCCTACAAAATTCAATGCTGAATACATCATTCATTCTCGATTTGCAAAAATCTATTCAGAAAAAAATTAACACTATTTTAGTGAAGAATATTTGTTTATCACTCTATACTCAGAAGTTGATTTTGAATTCTCTATTAACTTTTCGTTTGGTAATTCATCAACTATTAAATCTCCTACAAAATAATTACTTGAACCTTCTGAATAAATTTAAGATACCTTCCCATTAACTTATAAACCTTAACCTAAAGATAAGATATTAGGCAACCTTTCTGTAGCACATCATTAAATAAGTCATAGATTGAATAAGATTCTTTCAGTATAATCAGAAAGATTATAAAAACAAAAAATGGCTAAATCTATGAGATAGTCTCTAATCGAAGATAAATAATTAGATAAACTATCAAAATTATTAGTAAAGGATTAAATAATTTAATTTAGAGAGATCGAAAAATAAATTATGTAAAAAAGAGCAGTTGTATAATTTGCTTAAAAAAACTGGATACAAATTTTTGGTTTATTTTTAATTACTGAATATGTATATACTTGTTTATAGGAGCAAAAAAGAAAATAAAAAGTTGCCGCAAAAGGAAAACTTTTAGTTTGGGCATTAAAAACAAAAGCATTAATAGATGTTAAAGAATATGGTATAAGTGCAAAAGAAAGAACAATATTTAAATGCAGAGTTGTAATTAATAGTTTTGCAATAATTATTAGATCAAAAACAAAATAAAAAGCAGAATTTGTTATTACTAAATTCATGGATAGAATTCTGCTTTTTCTAACAGTTTTAAATAAACATTAAAGCACACTCAATAAAGGTAAACAATATTTATGATATTTTTTAATCTAGTTATCTTCATTTAAAGAAAATTTCGTCTTCTCAAAACTAAAAAAAGATAATTTAGGGATAAATTTTGGAAACTAATTAAAGAGAATATTGTTGATATTCTTTATGATTTAAGAAGACAAAAAGAAAACCAATGCTTTTTTGAAAAGCAGCAAGTAATTATTGATGTGTAAGTTGAAATCGTGTAAATTTAGCCCAACAATGAATTAAGTAATTGATGAATACAGTAAAAAATAAAGAGTTTTTTGGATTGAATACATTTAGCATACATATTTAGAGAAGGATTAAAAAAGAGTAATATTTATTATTATTATAAAGAAAATCCATGAAACTGCACTAAATTTGAAAGAGCCGAAACTCTATGATTTGCCAAATAAAAACGAGCTTGGTCTTCTTATAGAATAATATGCCAAATTGAAAAAATTACTTTGATTATAAAATTTATTTATTTGAATGGGAAATATTTGTCAAACAACTTCACTCACATTGATTACTGAAGTTAGTGATGATATTGTTGACCATTAAACTATAATGTCTACAAAAAATAGAGCCATTTTTAATGAAATTTACAAACAAGAGGAAGTTGATTCAACAATTAAATTACAGACCTAACCTTAAATAACTTAGCTACCATTCATAAGTTTAGATTTAATTGAGCCAAATCAATATATTCCTTAAATCAAAGTAAATAGAAGAACTTTAAGCTTTGTAAAAGAGAAATCACTCAAAGATGATAATAGAAGCAGAACTACTTCCTAAAAGATCAAGTCTGAAAATATCTCAATTTCTAGATAACCAATTAAATCATCTCTTAAATCACTTAATTCTAAATAAGGTAGCTCTTAAAAAAGCTAAAAGTCAGTAAGATGGGGAAGTGACTTAAGTGTCTTTGCAAATTTAATCCATTACTAAAATTAATTGATTTGAATTTATTACATATGAAATACCACTTTTTCTATGAATATATAATAATATTAAACAACTTGATTTTATTTCAATGATTGATAATCTAATTCACAAAAACGTAAATTGAAAATTTCACCATAACCTCAATTTTTTTTTGAAAATATATTAAGGGGCTTTATCTTCAACTTCAACCCAAAAATATATCTATTAGACAAGGTGTTTCGTCTGTATATCATTTCTTTATTGAATATTATCATTTATATGTGGATATTTAATAGAGAAAGTGCATTTAAATATTATTTAAATATAATATTGCATCATTTTATATTATTTTCTCCACAATCATAATATATTTTAAAATTATATTCTTAAGAAATCAAAAATTTTTGACCCTTCAATTTCCTAAAATTTTTTATCTTTATTATCTTTATTAATATATATGTAATTATTAATTTTGTATTTTAAAAGAGTTTCGATTCTCAATAGCTTTTGTAATGAAATGTTAATATGGTTAATCTTTTATTTGGAGGAGTCAAAATAATTATCAAATAGTTAAGTAGAAGAACTTTTGAGGAAAAAAGATGAGAATAATCAAGAAGAACAATTGAATAGAAGATTAGGATTAGGATAGAAAATAATATTTTGCTTGAATTCTTGAATTTGTGGTTATAAAAAACTTATAATTAAATAATTAAAATGATTTTATTAAATAAAAAAGTAAACTTCTAGATAAAATATCTTAATTATTATTTTTTAAAAAAACAACAAAATGAATAATAAGAAGGTAGATATCTTTATTAATCTTTTTTATTTTAGAAAAATGATAATTAATATTATAATAATTAAGTCTTTTTTAACTAGAATGAGATTTGATAAGATGATAAAAGACTCAAATAATTGTGCACTGCTATATTATTATTAAAAAGTTTAAATAGGTCTAATCATATATATCTTTCAGTTAACTTTGTTCTTCTGAAATATTGAAATAGATATAAGCGTAGAGTTGGAAAAAGTCAAAAAAAAATTCATAGAGAATGTTCATGTTTTAAAAAGGGAAGCTTTAGCTTATGTTTTTGGACATAGTGGTTATGATACTCATTAATAAATTTAATTAGTCTTTCAAAGATTGAAATCATCAAAAATGGCAATTAATAATCCAAATTAAACTTTTAAAATTCTACATAAAAATAATTCATGGGAGGAATCTGGATGAAATTTAGGAGAGCAAAAATTAATTCAGGAGTTTAAATTTTAATGCATAGAACTACTTGAGGCCAATATTTATTTGGTTGATGCTTAGTAATTGTAAAATTATTTGAAGGTATTACATTATTAAATTCTAAGTCTAAAATAATAATAGTTTGTTGAATTATTTTGAATAATTTAATAAGCACTCTTTGTTTTGAAATCCTTATATTTTTATTATATAAAACTTATTTAGAATATACAATATTCAAAATTAGAATATAAAAATTATACATATAATTATTACATTTAGAATTTAACAATTTAAAGTCTTGATTCTTGAGGCAAGTATTGGTTTTCTAATAATTCCACTATTAGGACTTTCAGCTTGAGGATACTAAGGTTTAATTATAAAAATTACCAATAATCCAACAATATTTACAATATAATCTTTTCCAATATCTAAATTGGATATTTGATAGTTTACAAAAAAATTTTATTAAACACTTATAAGATCCTTAATTATAAATTTTGTGGATGTTTAAACAAAGAATTCTGAGACATTAATTTAAACTCCCAATTCTGTAATTCCAACAGCAATAATCCCATCCACATTTATAATAGATATATCAGCTATAAGTTTTGATTAAGCAAAATTAAGATTGATTTTTAATTCAGGAACCAGTTTAATTTCACTTGTATCTATAAGTTTAGTCTATGAATTTGAAGATAAGATTAAATTGCTGTTTTATAAAAAGATAGCTGTGAGCTCTTATTCTCCAAGTAGAGTTAATTCTTCAGGTAAAATGTCAATTAAGTTATCATAATCAGCCAAAAAGTATAAATACAATGGATATGGTTTTTATTAAGCATATGATTTAATGAGAGTAACTTTATTTAAATTATTTAAATCTGTTGTGACATTATTATCATTAATCTCTGTTACATCTTTACATAATGACCAATCTCCAATAAGGATTCTATTAGCATATTAGGGATATTTATATTAAGCTTAACAAACTAAATTTTAACTCTGCTTTGTTGTTGGTTAACTATCAAAATATAATTTTAAAATCATTGCTTTAGAATTATTGTCAGTTGTTGCAATCATATCTCTAGTTAAAGGATAACTTAAAAATGAATAAATACGAGTTGAATCATAACTCATACAATAGATATCTACATTGTAAAAGGAATTTAATTTAACTATAAAAGTTATTTCTAAGTTTTAAACTGATTCTTTATATCCATAATTCTCAAAACTATATTATTAATTCATTCTTATCTTTATTTCTTAAAAGGTTGGTCTAATTCCATTATTTAAATATATTGCATAATATATATCACTAGTCTAATTACATGAGGCTGAAACTTTAAGTGTATTTTATGAACTTACAGTTATTAAATTAGTAACAAGAGGATAATAATTTTGAGCTAGCACAAAATTGAACAAGTATAATAATATCATAAAAATTTTAAAATAATCATTTTTTTTCTTAAGAGGCAGATTATTGTTTATTTCTTTCTTATTATTCACAAATGGCTAAATGAATTTTCCAGTTCAAACCAATAGCTTTATAACATAATGGACAGGTGTCTCCTTAAGAAGAATTACAAATTTTTTTATTTTAATGTTCAGCTAATTGAATTTCAAGTACTGCACATCCACATCTAAAAAAATAAATAAAATAAAAGTATACGTTTCACATTATCTATAATTTTTAGCAAATTCACATTCCTCAAAGTGATGATTAGTTAATTGAGAAACTTCTACAACTTAAGCACATGATAAACAAGTTGTCAACATAACACATTCTTTCCATAAATGCATATCAAGTTTTTAACTTTGAATAAATTCCTTATTTTCAATACCACAAAATTCACAAGCTTAAGTTATTTATTAAAATATTTAATCAGGATTATTTTAATGCTATTTCTTTTTTGGTTATTATTTTTTTTCTTATTCAAAGGATGTTTATACATTGCCTCCATTATCTATTTTGTAAAATAATTCTTCTAAGATTTATTATTGAGCAGGTCTAATACCTTTTAAACTTTCTCTAACTTTATCTCCCTAATTTTTATAAACTTCAGTAATTATATAAATAGCACATGTTCTAACTTATTCAGCAGAATGATCTAAATATTTAATTGCAACATCCATAACAGGATTATAAGGAACTCTTTCATTATTGATTTTATATTTTTAGATTAAATTATAAATGAGCATTAATCTTGCTTAAATATGTCTAACTGATGATAATTATAAATTTGGTTTAGTAGTTATTCCTTTGACTAAATGATTGATAACTCCAGCACTTCCCATAATTTGAGTTTCAGCAAGAGTCAATAAAATTTTTTTGCATTCTTCTTTGTGTCTTTCATTAATGTCACCCATTTTCTCCATAAGAATCTAAATTTATATATTAATAAATTTACTAAGACAATATTATCTAAAATAATAGGGCTTTCATCATTTAATTTATTTGGTTTCAATTTTAATAAAGTTTGTTACATCAATTAAAGACTTGCATAAACAACTTTATCTGCTTTATCTTAAATGCCTTTATAAATTAATAATAAAGTAGCTTAGAATGCTCCATCAATATTAGAAAGATTTATTTAAGTTGGATTATTAAATTATTCAATTAACCATCTAATACCTTCTTCTCTACGAGCCCAATTTTTAGAGAAATAATTCTTACAAAATTCTAATCCATAATAAGGTTTTATAGCCTCTACTTATTTTAAGTTTTCTGAACTCAACTCTTCAATTTACTGTTTACTTTTATCTACTTCAGAATATTCTTCTAAAATTTAATTATTATTGTTTTATTTATTTTTTAAAGCAGGAATAACCATTTCATCATAATTTAGTTATTTATCATTTTTTAGTTATTATTCAAAAGAAGTAGGTTATTAATAACTTGTATTTGCATTTTCATTTTAATTATTTGTAATATGAGTAATATTATTGTTATTATTTAATTACTCAACTAGATAATTTTAATCTTCCTAAGGCATTCTATCAAAACTATCTTCTATTATTTTATTATTATCAATTTATTTGATTGAAGGTTTAGAATTTCTTCTATCCTCATAATTATCTGTTTATTCTCCTAATTCTGATTATCTAATTTTGTCAATATTTGGTTTGTATTCATTTCCTTGTTCATCTATAAGTCCATTTTCAATTTTAAGTTTTTATATTTAATCTTTGATAGATTCTGCTTAATCATAATCTTCATTTTATAAAACCTCTTTTTTTCTTTCTTCTAAATCTCTCAACTAGACTCCCAAAGATCTAAGCTAAGTGATTCTGTTTTTGAGTTTTTTTGCTTCCTAATAATTTTCCTATTTGATTGCATAATCTTTGGACTCTCATTTTAAAGAATAATTTACATGTTCAAGTGCAATAATATGTGCCAATAATTTAGTGTCAATCAATTTATCTTATTGTGGATTATATAATTCATCTAAAACCTTATCTTATACTTTATTTGTTTTCTTAGGTGGAGGAAGTTCTGCTTTTTCACCATATATTCTAATTGCTACTATACCAACTTAATTAAATGGATTAAACTTATTCTCATGATTACGATGTACTAATAATTTAAGATAATTGCAATTAGCTTCATCTATTGATACTGTTTTGAGCTCTCTAGCTTACCAATTAGATTATTCGTTGGAATGAAATGTAAAATAACCAATCTTTTTAAAACTTGCATTTTCTAAATCCATTCTCCCTTATAATCTACCTATAAAAACTTCTATTTTAGATGGTATTTTCTTTTCATGAGACAGAATTTACATTTTTTGAACTGTTATTGCAGATTAGAATTATAATATTAACTCTTATGGATATTAACAAAATCTGCAGCTTTGCCATCCCAAAGGTGTTGATGATATTTCTAATAAATTTGATGGTGGATATTATGCATCTTAACTTTATGCATAAGGTATTGTAAATGTTATGAATCTAGTATTTTTAGGCTAATTCATTTATTAATTATTATTTATATTCATTCTTTATTAAATCATATTATTTCTTTAATTCTTATCAAATCCTCCTACTCTATTTTATATTTCCTCAACTTACAAATACTTGGTAAAATCTCTGTAAAATAATATTTATTTTATTTCTTTATTATTTATTTTATCAATGCTTCATCTCTTCTCACAATAATTTCCCTATTTCCTTTTTTTGTTGAAACCATAAATATACATTAACCTAGCTCTGTTATTAATAAATTAACTTACACTTAATAATAATATTTATGATCCTTTTTTAAGGAGTAAACTTTATTTTAATCAACTACAATGAAATCTACATCAAAATTTTCATTCTCTTCAAATTCTTGTTTCTTATAACTAGATTTCACTTATATCAATCCAATCAGATTATCTTTATTATCGTAAATTAATGCATCAGGCTTTCCAGATATATATGGCCAATTTAAATTTATTAGAACATCTGTTTATTTCAATTTAACATCTGAATGTTAGATAACATATTGAACTAAAGCTATTTCCTTTTATGCTAAACCCTATTTTCTTTCTTCATTTTTTAATTTATTCTTTTTACCCTATTTTTAATTGAATTCTTATTTACAAATATCATACATCTTATTCGCCTATAATCTAAGTCCTTATTATTCATTTTAGCAATAGTTTTTAATTTCTATAATTTTCTCTTAAATTAAATTTCCATTTTTCGGTAATAGAGATGTTATAAAAAATTCTTCTATTGTTTTTAAATCTTCATCAGGAATTTATTGTCTATCTATTAGATAGTTTTAATAAAATTATTTCATAGCTTTATAATCATTTCCATTGCTCTCTAATGAATAATCATAATAACCATTTTGAAATATCAATATCGTTTTTATTTTCTCAATAGAAACAAGTAAAAAAGTTTCAAATAATTATTTTATTTCATCACAAACTTTATCATTTAAATCTAATTTTTTTTTTATTATTTTTTTCATAATAATTATATTTTCTATGTTTTCCTAATGTAAATCATCTTCGTTTTCCACAAAATGATTCTTCAGATTGTAGAAGAAATTTTAAATGAATAAATTTCTCTGCTTTGATTACTAAAGTTAGTTTTTAATAAATTTTGGAACTATAATTTCATTACTTTTTTTGTTTACAAATATTTAATCTAATGAAAGACTACAAAATTTTTCTTGCTCATCTTGTGGTTATATTTCTGAAAATATTTATTCAAGATTTTAAGTTATATTTGCAAGATATTCTATCTTGGATTAAGATAATTTTTTTATTTTATTTAACTCAAATTCTGTTACTTCTATTTCTACCGAATCTCCATCTATGTAAATAAAACATAAATGATTTTCTTTATCTAAAGCATAGAAACAATACTCTTATAGATTAATTTAATCAATCTGCTTGAATATCAAAAACTATTTGAAAATTTCTTACATATTAATTTTATAAATTAAAAATTATTATTATTATTATTCTATCATTTAAGACTCCTTAATTCAAAAAATAAAATGATTTCTATAAATCATAATCTTAATCTATTTTCCTTAATCTCTGCTTTTATACCAAAAAAAAGCTCAGAATGGTTTATTATACTATCACATTATCTTTTTAAAAACTCAAGTTGGTATTTACTTTAAAAGAATTATTTTATTAGTTTTAAAACTAATGAATGAGTCGTAATTGAATTAAATTATCAATTTATTTATAGAAATGTTTATATTTGAATTGTAATTAATTTTTCCGAAAAATCTTATTCTAGAATCCACATCTTTAAATTTAATATAATCTTAATTAATTTATCAAGTCTATAAAATCTTTTTTCAAATTTAGAAGTGTTAAAAGGTTATTCTTTAAATTTGAGTTTTAAAAATTTTTGGTTGAAAATTAAGTATAAATGTTAAGAATCCAAAAAAATTGATTTATTAACTTTTCCAATTGACTTAGAATTTAGTTGATCACCAAATTACTAATAACTTTGAATTGTTTACTAATTGAAATCGATTTCTCTATTCAGGCTAAGCTTTTTCATAAACTTAATAACAATAACGATTACTCTTTTTTTAGAAGTAATAATTTAGATGTGCCTGGATTAATCCTTATTGAATTATTAATTAAAATTAACTTATTATAATTATATTAATATTATTAAATGGAACTTAACAAAGAAAATTAAAAAAGCATTGATATCTATCAAAACGAAAATGATGAAAATGACCTTTTTTAAGATTAAGATAGTAAATCTTATTAAGATTAAATAAGACGAAAAAATAATCTAAAGAGATAGACCCACCTTTGTCATCCAAGTTATTTCAATCATATTAATAATTTTATACGTTATTGGATTTGTATATTACTTAATATCAACTTCTAAAGATAACTAAAAATCAAATAATCAATGAATTAGTCAGTTTATAATGTATCTAAATAATTATATGTGATTTTATTAAAGGAAATTTAACACAGAAATTCTTAATATATTTTAAGTGAACTGACCTTTCATTAACTTTTTACAAAAACTCTATTTGATTTTTGTATTTTAGGCAATGGAATATATTTGTTTACCATTTAATAAATTTTATGATTCAATTACACATACTTTTTAGTCTTTATTTTATTTTTATGATTAATGCATACATATATATTCTATCTAAAGAAAACCATTATATTATTAAGAAGTGAATCAAACTAAAAAATGTTAAGAGCATATATAATTTAATATTAAAATTCATTTAACATCCTTATCCGATTCTCAATCATTTTTTATTACATAAATTTCTGGCTCTTTATAATTTGGATCATTGTATATAAATTCATCATCTTCAAGCCCTTTTATTTTTTCTTCAGCATCTTTTTCCAAATTATTTTATTTTATAAGTTCATCAGTGTATTAAACTACTTTATTTTCATATCTATCTTTCTCATATTTATACTCTGCCATCAATCTTCTTATCTAATAAAATAATATAATAAATTACATTAACAACATTGACTTATTACAAATCAGGATAATTATCTTTATGATCTTTATTTATTATTTAATTTTTTGAATCAATATCTGATTTTCCAGGTTTTAATTTATTTGGATCATAACCATATTGTTTCAATAAACTTTCCAAATAAATTATATGTATTTTAAGTTCTTCTATTTACTTTTATAATTTGTTCAATTAATCTTTTTATTTATCATCAGATTACTAACCTGGTTTTTTATCAGATTAACCTTTTTTATCATTCTATTAAGAATCTTCTTTATTTTTAGTTGGAGTCTTTTGTTTTTAATCATCAATTTATTTTTGAAGTTCTTTTATCTTATCTTCCTATTTTTTTATCTTATCATCAAGCAGAGATTTCTCTTTTTCTAATTTAGGTATCTAATCTTTAAATTTATTATTTTCATTTATTTATTCTTTTAATTTCTTATTTTCTTCTTCCTTTTTTTTTATATCTTCTTGTTATTTTTTTATTATTTCACTCTAATTTTTTTCATTTTACTTTTATTCATTATTTTCTTTCTAATCTTTTTCAATTTTTTCCTTTAGTTTTTTATTTTCCTCTTCCTTTTTTTTTATATCTTCTTGTTACTTTTTTATTATTTCACTCTAATTTTTTTCATTTTACTTTTATTCATTATTTTCTTTCTAATCTTTTTCAATTTTTTCCTTTAGTTTTTTATTTTCCTCTTCCTTTTTTTTTATATCTTCTTGTTGTTTTTTTATTATTTCACTCTAATTTTTTTCGTTTTACTTTAATTCATTATTTTCTTTCTAATCAATTTAAAATTTTTCTTTAAGTTTTTTATTTTCCTCTTCCTTTTTTTTTATATCTTCTTGTTACTTTTTTATTATTTCACTTTAATTTTTTTCATTTTACTTTAATTCATTATTTTCTTTCTAATCTTTCTCAATTTTTTCTTTTAATTTTATAATTTCTTCTTCCTTCTTTTTCAAATCTAATTCAATTTTATTATATTTTTCATCTCTTTATTATTTTTAAGTATTTATCTCTTTTTGTAGTTTTTGAATCTGATCCTATAACTTAGAAATTTGTTCATTTTTTTAGTCTATTTCTTGTTTAAGTACTTTTATTTAATCTATATATTCATTCTCCTTATTATTTTTCTCTATTTTAAAAATATCCTCCTGTAATTTCTTAATTTATTCCTCCTTTTTCTAGATTTCTATTTCTTATTTTTTAATTATCTAATTTAGCTCAACTTCTTTTTAAGTTTTTTACTATTTATCAATGCTATCCTTTTAGTTTTATTCTTAAATCTTTTTAAGTTATTCTTCCAATTATTTTATTTGTTGTGTTTTATTATGATCTTCTTCGGTTAACTTTTCAACTTCCTTTTCAAACTATTTTAACTTCTTTTCTTTATTTTATAAATTTTTAATAGTTTATTCTAGTTATTTAATTTCTTGTTTTAACTTTTATGTTTAATCAATTTATTATTCAATTTCTTTTGAATTATTATGTTCTTGCTTAATTATTTCTTCTTTAAGTCTTGAAACTTCTTACTCCAATTCCTTAATTGACTCTTTGTATTTCTTTTCAGAAATATCATTTGTTCTTTTAATTTCTTCTTTTACTTTTTCCACTTTCTTTAATTCATTGTAACTACTTTATAGATCTTTAATTTGATTTTATTAATCTTCTATTTAAGAATTTAATGATTGTAAATCATTTAATAATTCTTTCTTTTCCTCCTCTAATTTATCCATCCTCTTCTGTTAATTTATTTCAGATGATTTAACTTTTTAATTAACACTTTCTTTTTCTTTAGAAATTTTTGCTATTTAATTTTAATAATCATCTATTTATTATTTTAATTTTAATATTTCTTATTCTAAATTTTGATTTTTTTCCTATTTCTCATTTAAATCTTATTCGATATTTTTTATTTATGCTATTGTTTATTTTTCATATTCTTAAAATATTTTAATTTTTTGATTTTAATCATTTATAATTTTATCCAAAGTTTTTACTTTCTCTTTTTATTTATTATAATCATTTTCAATTTAAACTAATCTTTAAATTTCTATGTCCTTAAGTTTAATTTAATTTTCTATATCAATTAAGTAATCAATTTATTGCTAAAGATCAATTTTCTCTTATGTTAATAGTTTCACTTATTAAGTCAATTTAGATATTTATTACTAAAGTGTATTAATTGTTTGTTTTAATTATTCTTCTGCTTTTTCTTTTAATCTAATTTAATCATTTAATTCCTCTTTTTCTCTATCAATCATATCCATCTATGATATTTAGCTTGTTCTTTCTGATATATCTTATTTAAACTTTTTAATCTCTTCTTTTTTTTCTTTTAGAGAAGTCTCTAATTTTTTAATCTATTCTTAAAGTTTTTAAATGATCTCATCCTAAATGTTTATGTTTAAATTAGTTTATTCAATTTCATTTTATAATGTTTTATTAGATTCTTCTTCTAATTAAAACTTTTCATTTAATTATTTTAATTGTTATTCAAGTAATTTAATTTATTTTAGATGATTATTATTTTCTGATTAAAGTTTCGCTTCAATAGATTTCCTTTACTTTTATTCTTCTTTTAAATCTTCAATTTCTTAAGAAAATTCAAAATGTTAAGATTCTAATTTTTATAATTCTTCAATTTTCTCTTTTAGTTTTGTAATTATTTCATCTTTAAGCTTTGCTTATTAATTTAATTTATTTTCAAATTATTTCTTTTCTTCTTCTAGCTTTTTCTTCAAAAATTCAACTTTTTTTTCTAAACTTAATTTTTCATCTTCATCTATTTAAATTTACTCTTCCAATGTCTTTATTTTATTTTCAAGTAATTCTTAATTTTATTTCTGTTCCTCAATATTATTTTACTATTTTTTATATTTTTCTTCTAATTTTTTCAATAGTTGGGCTTTTTCTTCTAAAATTTAACATTCTTAAGTTTTTTTTTTGATTTCTTTCTTTAATTCTTCAATTTGAATTTCTAAATCTTCACATTTATTTGATTGTTCTATTAATTTTTATTCCAATTCTTCTTTTTCTGTTAATTTAACTTAAAGTTTTTCATTATCTCTTTAAATATCTTTTAATTAATCTTTCAACTTTTTCAATTCTTAATCCTTTAAAGAAATTTATTACTCTAAAGATTTAATTTTTTCTTCATTTATTTTTTCTGTTTCCAAATTTTCATGTAACTACTACTCGGTTTCAATCAATTTTTTTTATACAGTAATTAATTAATCAGCTTTTTTTACATTTTCCCTTTGTTATTCTTATAATTTCTTAATTGTTTAATCTTTTGATAATATAATAGCATTTAAATTATTTATAGTTGAATTTAAATCATCTATTTTAACTTAACTAGTTTCATCTTTTATTTTAAGTTCACTAATTAAAATTTCAAGTTGAGATAATCTTTCTTGCTTTTTTTAATACTCTTTGATTGTTTCTTAGTATTTTTTGAAATCTAATTCATAATTTCTAATTTTTTATTGGAAATCTAATATATCTTCTCTTGCTTTTTTTAATTCTGTTTCTTTCTCATTTATTTAATCATGAAGTTAATCATTCTCTGATTAAAGTTCCTATGATTTTTAATTTCCTAATTATTATTTTAATTTGTTGATTTCAAATTCTTTTTCTCTTATAGTTAATGAAAATTTCATTTAAGCTTCATTTAATTATTGTTAAGATGTTTGGAATTAATCATTAACTTATTCTATCATTTTTTCCAAACTCTAAATCTTTTCTTGTTATAACCTATTTTCATCTTACAACTTTTTTAATTCATGTTCCTTTTATTTTAATTGATTTTCTAGTTTTTTTATTGTTTCTTTATTTTATTTATCTTATTATTGAAGGTCTCCTATTTTTTATGTTTCTAATTCATCAATTTAGTTTTCCAATTTCGTAACATTATCTTTTAAACTTTATTTTTCAAGTTCACTTTTTTTTAATTGTTAACTTAGTTATTTTGCTTAATTGTCTAATTTATTAATTTAATCTTAAAAATTCTTACTATTTTATTCATGTTTACTAATTTATTAATTCAAATCTTGAATTTCTTTTGTTAAATCATTTTCTCTATTTATATTTTATTAATTCTCTAATAATTTTTCAGTTAATTTTTTTATTTCTTAATCTTTAAACTTGATTTATGTTTAAAGATTTAGAATTTAAATTTTAAGATCCTCGTTTTCTCCTACCTACTAATTTAATTTATCATATAAATTATCTAATTCTTATTATAATTTTGTTGTTCTTTCTGGAGTTTTTTAATTTCCTTAAATATTGCTTTATAACTTTTTAATTTCAATTTAAAAAATTCTAATTTACTCTTACAACTCTTCATTTTAAATTACACATTTTCTCACTTCATTTATTTTTTCCTCATTTATTTCCTTAACTCTATTTGTCATTTCTTTAGTTTATTCTTAATATTTTGTTAATTAATATTCTTTAGTTTTATTGTTCTATTCTAATTTATAAATATTCTCCGATTACTACTTATCTATAGAATTAAGTCTCTCAATTTCTTCTTTTAGAACATTAATGCTTTCTTCATAATCTTTCAATTTTAATTAGTTTAATTACAAATCTCTAATTTTTTCTTTTAATTTTTTGATTTCTTATTCTTTATTCTTAATATCATACTCTTATTATAAGATTTTTTATTCATGTTCTTCTAATAGTTAATTTTAAGAATTGGCTTCTTAATGAATCTTTTCAATTTAATCTTTTTAATGAGTATTCTTTTCTAAGGCTCTAGTCATTTCTTTATTTTATTCTTGAAGTTTTTTTACTTCTTAATCTTTTACTTTGAGAGCATCTTCAAGATGTTTCATTTAATCTTCAAAAAAGTTAGATTCCTCTTACATATTTTTGTTAATTTATTCTATCTTCTTTTAATTAGCTAATATTTCATCTTTTTATTTTTAAAGTGCTTTCTAATACTCGGCTTCCTTTTTTTATTAATTTTGTTGATTTAATTTATTATCAGAATCGTAATTTTCAATTTCAGTCATAAGATCTTAAATTTTCTCTTCTAACTCACTTATTTTTTTTTCTAACTAATTTTTTTCTTATTCTAATTTTAAGTATCTATTTAATTAATCTTTTAATTATCTAATTTCTTTTTCTCTTAATTCTAGTACAATTAGTTATTAATCTTATTCATTTAAAATTTCATCTTATTCATTTAATTTTACCATAGCTTCACTCAATTCTTATTAAAGTCTTTTATTTTCAGCTTATAAATTATCTATTATTTTTTGTAGATCTTTTGTTGTATTTTCATCAATTAATTTTTTAGCACCTTCTAAGACATGTTTCTTTTTCTTTTTCTATTCTTCTGGAACAGAATCTTCTTCATCAACAATATCCTAATTTATCGGAAAAGCATCTGTTGCATTTTTTGTAGCTTCTCCAGGATTTTTTTAATTTTAATTTTGATTAATAGAGTTATTATTATTTTTATTGTTATTAATTTCTTATGTTGTATTTTAATGATCATTTTTCTACATATTTTCAACTTTTTTTGTTAAATCTTTTATTATATTTTATAAGTCTTCTATCAAATGATCTTTTTCTGATAATTCATTCTAAATATATTGCATTCTGGTTTTATATCCTTCAATTTCAATTTTATATTATATCAATTAAACTTATAATGTTTCCATTTCAATTAATAAATTTTAATTTTAACCTTAATTCAATTAATCATCTTTCTCAATAATTATTATCCTTAATTATTCAATTTTCTCTTATAATTCCTTAATTATTTAACCATAATATTCCTCAGTCTCAGTTATTTATTTTTTTTCACTACTAGGATCAAACTATTTAACTTATTTAGAATGTGAAATTTATATTATTTATTAAGTTAGCATTTCAATTTCTTAATCTCTTTCTCTTAATAATTCTTCATAATCAACTGTTCCTTAAGAATTATCTCTTTCTAAAAGTCTTTTGGTTATCAAATCCAATTCTTATATCAATTATTAGTTCTATTCTTCTAATTATTTCAATTTATTAGTCTAAAATATTTAATTTGATAATTTACATTATTACTTTTATCTACAATATCTAATTTTATTTATAAGTCTTCATTATATCTAATTTTAAAAGAGTTAACTTCTTTTTGTTTTTCTTATAATAATAATTTGAGTTAAGTAATTTCTTATTCATAATCATTTATGTTTTTATCATGCATTGAATGTTGTCTTGTATTTCTTTTTATTCTTTCAAGTTAATCACATAATTCAATATTAAGTTAGTTAAGATCCTTATTTTCTTTATAAAGCACATCTATATTTCCCTTGAGCTATTCATTTTCAGCAAGTGATTCTCTAACAACAGCATTCTAATAATGAATTGATTCATTACAAGTTTATCATTAGCTCTAAGTAGTTATTTAATTTTTTATTCATATCCATCTTATGATTAATGTGAGAGTGCAGGCGAGGCAGTTGGATCATAATTTCTATACATTATAAAAAGAATTTGAAATAATTTATTAAATAAAAATGATAGCTGAATTTAAATTAAAATAGTTTTATTTTGCTAAACATTCACAATATTTTATCTAAAGTTTAACAAAGTACTTAAAATTGTTGTTCTTCTTCTTAATCTTCTTTATCAAAAATTAATTATTTATAATCAACATCTGGTTTTCGAAGCAGAGATTAATTCTAAGCTTTTGTTATTTTTGTACTTTCAGCTGTATTATTAAAAAAGTTATTGCTAGTTTTTTACATTTTCTCTCTGCTTAAAAACTAGTTATTATGATTTATGCGAAACTTCGCCTTTATTTTATAAACATCAATCATACTGTTGGTGTAATAGGATTAATCATTGGTTAACTCTTTTCTCTACTGAATTATCGAGAATTAGGTGCTTTTGGAAGTGGTTTCCTAATGAAATTAAATTATGATTAGGTTGAGGCCATCAATAACTTTTATTATTATTTTAATTTATATGAAATTATACTTTTTACAATACACTTTCATCTTTAATTTTTGAAATCTTTGATCTCTGATATCCAGTTTTATCTCTGTAAATAAAGTTAAATAAGGTGTTTTGTTCCTAAAATAAGTAGAGAATTACAAGAAATATAATTTTTATTCAAAGTTAATATTTAGAATTGTTTCATGATCAAATTTTCATTTATATATCTCAAAATTTTTAAGAAATGCTTAAAATGAGAATCTAATAAGGACTATCAATTTAATGTAAATTGATATTTCATATTTACTTAAAAATGAAAAAAAAGAAATCGCATCTTATGTTTAATGGTAAAAATTAAATTTCTCAATTCTTAATTCATATAAGGTTGTCTCGAAAATAGAATTTTTTAGGGCTAAACAACACTTTTTTATTTCTATATTTAAAAATAAATTTATAAAATGCATGTATTTCATAAATAAAGTGGTTTCAAGAAAAAGAATTTAAAGGAAAAGGTGAATTAGTTTAGGAAGATAGTCTTCGTCTTATTAGAAGATCCATCATCTAGTAGATTAGCAGGATTAATATAATTTATCATTTGTTTTACTATATTGCTATCATAAGTTTAAATAATATGTGATTCGATACTTGATAAGTAAATGCATTAATTTGAAACTAGTAATTAAACCTATAATGATTTAAGCAATGATTGTGAAATCCTTATTTTTATTGTTTTTGTTTTAGAATATGTATTTCGATTAGCAACATACACTGTATATGGGTATCCATTGAAGAGCTTTTTATTATAGTATATGAATATAATAGGTATATTAATTATTAAATATAGATCTGTTATCAATAGCTCCCCTTAGTATTATTTCATTAGTTTATGGTAAAACTGCATTAAATGGTCTTAGAATTTTAAAGTTATTTAAAGTGATAAGAATACTAAAAGTTAAGAGATATCTAAAAGGAGTTGATATCTTGTATAAAAGTGTTGCAGACAGCATTTCCTAGTTTTACTTCTTAATAATAGCATTTCTATAGATTACTTTAGCATATGCAATAGTATTATATTATTCAGAGCATAACACAGAAAATGATTTAGAAATATAAAATGCAGTTTGGCTTGGAATAGTAACAATGACAACGGTTGGATATGGTGATTATGTTCCGAAATCTGTAATTGGTATAATCATAACTTGTATTATGGCATTGATGGCAAATACAGTAATCTTTTCACTTCCTGTAGCAATTCTTAATATTGAATTTTAAGAACTTTATGGAAGCAAAAAAGAAGAAGAATAAATTAGAATTCTTAAAAAAGGAATGAAATCTGGAAGAAGAGATTCAATTAAGAATAAAGAATTCAGTTTCTTTAATTAACGATTATAAATTATTGAGTAAAGAAATACAGAAATCTAAGATTTATTAAATAAAAGCAATAAGATGGCAAAGGAACTTACAAAAGATTTAAAAAGATTGTTTCTATCAGTTAATGATGATGCAGATTAACTTCTTGATAATTTAAATTCTCCAAGATTAACTAAATAAAATGTATTATTAGTTAAAGCCAATCTTTATGATAAATTAATGAGGGCTAAAAAGAAAATTTAAATTACAAACATTTTTAGAAATTTAAAATAAGATTCTGATTAAGAAGTCAATGAGAGTCCATTAAATTAAACTGTGTCTGGCTAAATTAGTAAATAAAAAAGCTTTTTTAGAATGATGTCTGATAGAAAGCAAAATAAAAGAAAAATAGGAATTAAAAGTCACTCTTATGAAAATATAAATTAATTAATTATACTCAGAAATGAAGAGTATGGGGAATTGCCATTTGATTTTTTAAATGAAGTACTTTTATAAATTCATGATGATATGTTAGGAGATATCGATGAACGTCCTATAAATTAATAAAAATAATCAATTATTATACCTGAAAGTAGTGAAATTATTAATAGAGAACCGTCATTTAGAATTAATTCATTATAGTATAAATATAATAATATTTAAGTGGATTTGATAGTCCAATGAATAAACTTAATTAAACTAACTGTGGAAGTTCTAATTAATAAAAAAGAAAAATATCCGATTTTTCAGGTTTTATTGACAAGAAAACAATAATCAACTTAAAAAGCA